ATTGCGCTGTTGGAAATTTTATCTTGTTTGGTCTCACCCCACAGTTATTGGTACCCAGCTACAATAATCCAGTTCGGACAAAACAAAGCCAAAGCAAACATTGCCAGTAAAGAAGAGAAATTGAAACTCTTTAATTAACCTCTTTTCTGTATGCTCAGATATGAAGGACAGAGCTTATAACAAGGATTGACAGGGAGCCAAGATGGAGGCACCTAGTTACCGGAGAAAGCGGGGGGGAGGGAGGGGGTTTCTACATTCAGTATTAATTTTCAGGTCTTTAAATCACATTTGTGAAATATAGGGGATAAACAAGGATGATATGAAAATTCCTGAGAAGTCAGAGTTACTCTTTAAAATTCCGAGTACAATGGGGAGGTGGGATCCAACTGCCTACAACCAGCATTGGTTCCCAGTATGACATCATCAGGAATGCCAGGGATGTCAATAATAAGCTGATACTTTCCTGCTATTTTCACGCTGAGATGTTTCTTAGACCCCGTGAAGTGGTTCTTTCAGGCCAAAGGCTGAGATTATTAACACCTCTAGGAATTAGGAAACACTGTTTCCATGTTCCTGGACAGAGACGGACAATCATAACTCCTGGTCTCGTTAGAAACACATTATCCGCTGTCACTTCGGCAAACTGTACTCTGAATAGCCTGTTTACTCAGGTAAGCTGTGTGTTATACACCGCCAGAGAGAACTCCGTGTTCTTTAGGAAAGAGAACAAACATGTTTGTTACATGACTACAGACGCAACCACGCTCGCCTCACAATACGCTCTACTAAATGTCGTAAGGACGTGCTAAGCAGATGTCTGAAACCGTGCCAACGAAATCATTCTCAGACTCTACCAGACATTCCCGTCTTAAAGGGACCTTAACATTCCTTAGATTGTTTTCCCCTGGCCCTATATACATTTTAAACATAGGTGGGAACACACAGTAGCTGCGGTTTAAGGATCTCTCTTCCAGGGAATTGTTGGGTATTAGTAAAGGAAAGTACATTTAAAACTTAAGACTTAAGTGTCAGAACTGGAAACTTATTTAACTTGGGGAACTTTCTCAATTCAGGTATTTTGGTCTCTTGAAATTCAGAAGAATTTGACTTGTTCATTTTGAAATAGCAGCACCGTTAGCAGAGTTTTGGGTAAACTGCGCCATTCTACAGAATTCAAACTTTTTGCAGCCCAGATAGTGCGGAATAAACTATCATTATTCTCAGCCAGATCAAAGAACCCACAGCTGCCTATGGACGCAATACGACATTATTTCAATATAAGCTCACACTAAAGAGTTTAGAATGCCATTAAAGAGACACTTTAGTCACCAGAGCAACTACAGGTTAATGTATTTGTTCTGGGGAGTATAGTCAGTCCCTGCAGGCTTTATACTGTAAACAATGTCTTTTCAGAGAAAAGGCAGTGTTTACATTGTTGATAAGTAACTCCTCAGACGGTGCTTCCTGGGTCAGTGCTGCACCTACGTTCAGCGTCTCCATGCTCTGCATGGAGGCGCTGAACTTTATGCATAGAGATAAATTGTTTCGTGCAATAGCCTCCCAGTGCTTTCCTACGGGAGAACATCAGATTGGCTCAAGAAGCCTCTGATGAAGTAGGGCTGCCCCCTATGAAACGCAAAAGGCATACGATCTGAAGAGGAGCATTTGCCATGTGGAGACGGAACAGCGAGCATCCCCGATAACCCAGGATTCCAGACATGACATCAACATCATCCAGAGAAACCGGAGCTCACCTCTCAATATGAGGTCGGAGGTGAAACGCATGGTGACACAGGCTGCCAGAATACAGAGGGAACACCAACTACTACAATCCTCATCCATCAGGGTCTGGATTACAGGTTTTATTGCTTGTTTCATTTCCTACATTTTGGACTATATGCTATCCTCTGATTCTGATCGTTCTTTTTTTACATTTGGAACTATTCTAATTTTGAATCACTTGATCTGTTTTTTACAAGCTAAGTCACTTTTTTATTTAGCACTGTGGTATCACTACAGATTTCATTTGGGCAATTGGTTCCTTGTACTAATATGCCCGACCATAGACTTTGAATATCTTTTATACACATAATAGTATATTATAAGGCATAGATACTATCAGCCCTGTGTTGTTTTCACTAGCAGGGTTAAGGCTATCTATGATATAAACATTCTATCCAGGACTCATAGATCACTTGGTACTTATTCTATTGTGACGAAGTGCCGTTCGACACTTTGTCCTGGAGAGGCCTGCTTTCCTGCCTCCTGCCCTGCGACTATGGCCCTGGGATGTATTGCCCTTCTAGGAACTGATGTGGGCATACTTGATGCTTATATTGCTGTTTCTGGCCCTTTAATTCCCAGAGAAAGGCTTGTACTTTTAAACTGGCACTTCGGATGCAGTCGAAGTGCCGAAGTCGTCAAAGTGGCCGCCATTCGAATACCGAACACGTGGCTGCGGCCATTTTAACTCATTCGAACGCGGTCAGCAGTGTGTGCAGACAAATCTATGGAACTGTTTTCGGCTACCCAATTGCACGAACACCGCTGACCCATACGTTCTACTCTACTTCGACACGGCGGCTGCAGACTAAGTCCCGTTCGAAGATTCGAACGCTTGATCGAATGGGACTTAGTAATTTTCTCGGTGTAAAATAGAATAGAAATAAATCCATGGAACTGTTTGGGGCATGAAAATGTGCTTGCGGTCAGTCAAAAGTGACATATCTATTTCCCGAATGGCTGAATGGATTCAAATGATTTTTGGGTATGTTTATATTTGGAATGTGCTGATTAATAATATGTTATTTTATTAATATTGGATGTATAGTTTTAGAGTTATTAAAGTTGGGTAAAAAGTATGTTTTAAACTGTACGGTTAACTGGGTTACCTCTCAGGCTAAGAGGAGGAGATGTGTGGGATGTAACCATTGTGTGATTGGGTAATGTATAATTGTCTGTGGGCGTCTCCCTTGCAGGGGAGAATTGCATAAAAGCAGAGTGTGTGTTATTAAACCAGAGTTCTACTTCACCCTCAGTCTAGAGTCCTGTCTCTTATTGGGGGAATTGCTATATCACTACAAGGGATTGCTATGCTCTGCATGCTCCCTTGGATAATCACTCCTAAGCTCTTGTAAGAGCTGGTTCCTGTTTCCCTCTCTTGGAGGAGAGGTTCACCCACTGGATCCTGGAGCCTTGTCGTTGCTGTACGCGCTAGGAGCATCCTTCAACGGAGGTACCCAGTCGGGGTGCCAGGTGATCCGTTACAATCATCAAAATGGATTTCCATAAACTCACTGCGACTAAATTGCTTTCTGCAAGAATTTAAATATTTGTGGAGCAAATAGCCTTTTATTCTGTGAATATCCCCCATCAAACTGCAGAAATTCTAATTCCACTTAAATTATGTTTTACGAAGAGCTTCAGTTCTTTATTGTTTCATAATCACAATGGGGAAAGTGAAATCCCACTGCTACTAAAAGATATGATGCACCCCAGTTCTATATACTCAGCACTGTGGGTGCCTGTGAGAATTATTTGAGTGGGGAGCAGTTGTGTGTGCAGCTTAATTTTGTAGACTTTTACTTATATGCCAGTGGCACAGGATGCAAATCTCAAAACAGAGAGAGAGGAAATACATTTTACTTTACGTCTCAAATAAAGCGATTTTTACTGCACATTTTAATCTATGGGTTTCCCAGCAGACAAAAACCATCGCTTTGAAAAAAAAAGTAATTTATATCACACCTCACATGACAGTGCTTTGAAGGGAGTAAACAAAAATAGTTTGCACGTTTTTCCAAGGGCAAGTAAAATGTGAACAAAATTATAGGCCAACACCTTCAAATTACAGGTTATAAAACCTTTACATCTGTAATTTACCTTTGAAGGCACATGTAGGATACAGACTTTAGGAGAAGGGTTACTATTGGTTTTCCAAATTGAGCACTTTGTTTACAAACATTCAGATTTATTTTTTAATCAAGGACTTGGCACTCTAGCTGCTATGGACTACAATTCCCATCATTCATCTTGCATAGACACCTACAGGCTGCCTGCATATTTCTGAGTGCACCTAACACACGAACTGTCCAATTAAAGCATATTTCTAAGATTTTGTCCAATTGAGAGACAAAAAAAATCCAGTAATGACTGGGGGTTAGGCAAAATTAGTTTACATTGTGGCAGTAGATGACTTTGGTGAATTTATTACGGTGAATAAGATTGACACTCAAGATATAAAAAAATTCCAGTCCCCATATTCTCTGGCCAAGGATCCTTTAAAAAAAAAAAAAAAAAATTAAAAATCAGTGAGACATGGAACGCTGAATAGTTTTAGATTAAACACACATTTAAATAGTAATCACTACATTGCGCTGCAGTAGTTATGGTGCCAGGAGTCCGTAGGTGCAGTCTGACTGTAAGCCAACAAACTGTTTATGAACTTTGTCAGGCGCCTGTGATCCCTCTAGTCGCCACTATCAACTGATGAATACTATGATTTGGCATGATAAGGTTAGTATAAACTGATTTATGACAGCAACGAACACTGGCAGGGCTGTGGGCGCCTGACACAGCAAGGAGAGTTTCGAACCATTTCTAAATGATAAGACAGAGTCCAAGGAATCACAGCACCATAACCACAACAGTGTGCATAAAGTGCCCTTTTACTTTATTGAAAGCAAATAAAGCCTTTGTGTTTTTTTTTTGTTTTTTTATACACAAAAGTTTTTCGACCTTGGACTTTTCCCGTTTCCTGCTGTAATAATCGCGTCTCGCAGAATACGAGCTGGAAACCCCGGCTATTTACTCTTTCTATAGCTGGACTCTGATCATAAGGAAACTGTACAATGCCTTCCAAAGCCCATAACCGGTCAACGCCCTCCACAGGTTCTAAGTTACTCGAGTGTTGGAAGGAATTTCGCCTTCTTAAAAATCCCCCAAACCCATCACGTTTCATTTTAACCCTTTGTAGGGTATGATTCAAAATTGGGTAAAAAAAAATAATGTGAAAACAAGGTGAACGTAACTGTATTAACGAGGTGCGCATCAATTAGTTACAGAAATTTGTAGATTATAATTGAAAATCAAGCAAAGAACGTTCTTCTGCACAACAGCAAATACAAGAATCTAATTTATTTTCGTTCACAGAATGCCGAGTAGTTGTTACAGTAGACAGATTCCAGACCGAGGTTTTTTTTTGTTTTTTTTTATAAACATATTAAAAAATGACTTCAGTAGAGATTTTACTGCAGATTAGGGGCTGTCAATGTGCAGATCTAAAACTAATTACAAACTCTAAGTCTCACTATCCTGGATTGCTGGAGTTGTAGTCGATATGTGCGTATTCACTTTACAGTATGGACAGTTTGAGAGTATGTAGGTATAAAACTGTATTATACAAGTAAAATATTATGAAATGGAGGCAGCACTAAAATTAAAAGGAGCAGATTATGAATGCTGCATTTTATATATTATTTTTTATCACAGCAGAACACTTGTCTTTTGATTACACTCTCAGAGTGTAAGAGGCGTAAAACACTATCCTATTGCAGCAATACTGGATTTGGTGAGGAGCATAATGCTCGTTAAATCACTAAAAACCACTTACTAACTAAGTGCAACTTAAACAACTTGTGATTTTAGAGAAGTGAAGTCAAGTTTTGTCCTGACACAGGGAATAGGATGTGGGTACGAAGACTACTTACTGGAACGCAGAGACACCTAGAGGCAGTAAATGGTAAGACATATTGGCAAACCCTGATAGCACTAGTGGGAGCATCGCATATTACACAGAACAATACATTGCGAATTCTCAGGAATGCAAAGTGAGTTTCAGATTTTAGTTATAACAGTGCAATAGAAAACATAGCTGAAATCCCCGATAAATTATTCACAATTTCTGCCCTAGTGAATACACTGCTTCAGTCTGCGGCCGTGGACTGGTCTGTGGAGCTATCCAGAGAGACCCTCTCCCCCAGATAACTGTAAGCGGTCAGATTACACCGACACGCAGCTCAGTGTATGAAAACATGTGCAGTGCAGGTGTTAAAACAGCTGCTCTCATCATTTTCTATCCACAGTTTATGTACACGCAATTTTACATTGATTAAAGGGAGTTAGCACAGGGATTCAGCCTCGGGATACTGTACTAGTACTGGTTATAATCTCAAAACCTAGCATTAAAAGGACACACCAAACACATCATGCTTACAGATTATTGTAGCAGCTCTGATGCTGGGAGGCTGTGGATGCGGTCCCGCTGGCTTTTGTCAAACAGTTTTTAATGATTTTGGGAAAGAAAAACAAAAAATTGAGGATTCTCTTCCCCCTTGTCCTATTGAGGAAATCTTGCATCTCCATTAACAAAATGTTTGCACAACCCCTAGCACAGTATGTGCTTACACCAAGCAACGAGAGTCTTAGACCTCGCAGAAGCGCAAGATTTGGGTGAAAACCAGGATTCTTTAAAAATCAAAACTGAAATGGTTTGATGTACTGTATTCTGTACAATAAGCTATAGCAGTTATCGGCCTTGTAACGTTACTTTAAATAGATTTGCTATAAATAAAGCTACAAACTGCGGTCGCCCTCTGCTGGCTACTTATGTAAACCGCTGGTCCCAGCTAACAAGGTGAATAAACCGGACAAAAAGATTATAAAGCACGTTTTAGATTCTGTGTATAAAACACGGTATTTACATTATATTCCAATTAAAACATTCTTCTGAATGTTAACTTCCAGAGAGTCCCACTGATGTTAGTTCATAAAATATTAAACAAAACTAAAATAGGAAGATGTCATTCCGCTCCCCGTTATGTAATATGACAAATATGTTATTTAAAATAGTCCACGATAAAAGTTACTTATTGTAAAAGCTAATAAAATAGTCCAGCGTAATTCAGTGTAAACCGATTCACAGTCGCCACTGGCTGTGGTTTCAAGTCTAAGAAGACGGCGTGCAATCAGACGCTCAGATAATTCTGGCAATCAGTATGTGGCCTCATCCATATTGTCATCACTGTCACCGCCAAACTCCTCGCCATTGTCGAAGTAAGACATGATGTAATCGGTCTCCTGGGAACAAACAGAAATTTTAGATGATTATTTCTCTTCAGTGTATATGAAGGAGGAACCTATGACAAGAGATATGCATATTGTTGCTGCAAAAAAATGCAGAAACATTGTAACTGGATGACTCAAGACAAGGTTCAGCAACAACTAAAGAAAGTGAATATAAACAGAACCCCAGGGCCTGATGGTATAAGTAAGTAGACGTATAGATCAGGGTGTTGCAGTGGGTGTGACCTACTTGGGTTTTGGCATTTGATACAGTTCCACGCAGTAGGTTAGTGTTCCAACTCAAAGAAATTGGTCTAGATGAAAATTCTTGTTCTTGGGTTGAACATTGGCTTAAGGATAGAGTACAACGAGTTGTCATTAATGGTAAATTTTAAAGCTGGACAGAAGTGGTAAGTGGTGTCCCTCAGGGTTCTGTTCTGGGACCGCTTCTATTTAACATGTTTATAAATGACTACGATATACACAATTCAGGTGACTTGTGGAAATCGGAGGACCACTTTCCTTTGACATTTTTTTCACCAATTTGCCATTTGTGTTTCGACATTAGTGGTGGCAATTTAGCCCTACCAGTGACTTCTATGTTCACAAGCTCCAGGAACCTCTGGGACATCTATCTATGGGTGGCCATTTGTACTCCCCAAAAATGGATTTCTCACCTCCTCGTGTTCCTCTTCATCATATTCTTCCTCCTCTTCCTCTTTTTCTTCTTCCTCTTCTTTATTCTCCTCTTCCTCTGAGGAGCTAACTTCTTCTTCTTTCTTTTCAAGATTCTGTGTAATACACAACAGACAGAGATTAGCTTTAATGAACATATCCTACAAGGAATAGAAACAACACAGGAGGGGGAATCCAGGTCCTCACTGGGACCGTAAACAGACATACATTCATCAACTGCACACAGACACTACAGTAGTGGTACCATGACCACCTCAAAACACTCATTACGGGGCTACCTAGAACACCATACTGGTGGAAGTGGAGGCAGAAAATTATTTCTGAGATCTGCAGGGAGTAAAATAAAGATTGCAGGACACACCTGACAACAAGGTGGAAATGTTATATTCCCACAATAGTCCATCACATATAGCAGCGGCAATGAAAGTCCCACTCCCTTGTAAATGTCAACAGTGAAGATGGTTGTGGGAAGGAATCTTAGTGTTTTGTGAAGGGCATGTGTTCATCTTTTACCAGAAATACCCATAGAAGATTTAAATGATTTGAGATTATTCACAGGTTCTGAATAATTAGCACACAATGGGAAACGGCTTTAGAATAAACTGATGCTGTGAGTTTAGAAGAACGCTTATAAGCAGATTTAGGAATTTGTGATTAATCTGTGGGTATATTTGGGAGTATGAATTTAGAAAGAAATACAGCAGAATGTAAAAAGGTTTTACTTGTACAGCAGACATTATTTGCAAAAAGTAGGCATCTGTATATACCACAAACAAATCTTACATATACAGGGCTGGGTAGGGAACACGTTAAACCAGCAAATCAGTTGTACAGTTGTATATTATAATCCTAATCGAAAATCTAAAGACGAAATTAGTAGAATGGCCAATAGAAGAAAGAAGCCAAGATGCATTGTTAGAATTAATTTCTAAGCAATGGATACAGTTGTGTAAGGGCAACAAAATATTGTAGGAAATCTAACAGTGAAACTAAAGGCACATTTAAAAGAGTGTATTTTACTTTTACGTTAAGATTATAAATTGTTTCTGTTCAAATTTATTGTATGCAATAAACAAGGGAAGCAGGAAAAATACTAAAAATGTATAAAACTCCCAACTCCTAAATAGGTAATGTAAAAGATATTATTACGGTAAGACTCGCTTTACCAGCTATATATTCTTGGTCTCGGTTTGTCTGGCAGCTGCTTGTAGGGAATATGATTAGATGTAAAGGTATTGTGTGATGACAAGACGTAAAGCCTAATGATATAGTAATCATAGCTGCCAGGAGGAGGTGTGGGGGAAGTGACAGCGAAAGAGAATGCAGAATGTTTATTGTCGGATTACGCTTCTGATGTGCTGCTGGGGTTACACGGCGCGCACACAGACATTCAGATACTTACACGTGTGAAATGGATACAAACACTGCAATGTGCACATCTACATATGGATTATATACAGGAGCGAGAAGGGGAATCTGTGTATTATGGGAAAATATTGTCACTGGGGGAGACATTGTGATCAAAGCACAATTGTGTCTCAAGAAACCTGAGATGCTTCACGTTTTTAAAAAAAAACAAAACGCTTCAATGTTATTTCCTTTATATTACGATTTTAAAAAAGGTTTATGTAATAATACAAATATAAATAAAAAAAATAAAAAGCGTAATTTATTAAATAAATTATTTTCTGATGGTTTGTGGGCCTTTATCCCTCCCCACTGCATTTTAACAAATCAAATTTTGAACAGGTGAGCATGAATAAGTGATACTGGTCACCTGCAGTCCGGCCCCCACTGGAGGTGTGGCTAAAGCAGAGATTACACACTTCTTTGTAGCCTTACCAACAATGGGAGCTGTAATAGGCTGAAAAAAGTCCACTGACATTCTCAGCCAATCACAGCTGCCCACTGCTGCCTCCGCTAATGCTTCCTTTTTTAGCTCAAGCAGCAGAGAGGATGATGGGCTGCTGGGGACTCCTTTTCCATCAAAACCGCTAAAATAGAAGGGGAGTGCCAGGGGACTCCACACACTCTAACCACTATAATGAGATGTAGTTATGGTGCCTACAATGTACCTTTAACCCCTTAAGGACCAAACTTCTGGAATAGAAGGGAATCATGACATGTCAGACATGTCATGTGTCCTTAAGGGGTTAAATATCTTTTCACAAAGTCTGTCAGACGTCTTCTAATAAATGGAAATTGTTCTGATATTAAAATCTCTTGGCTGCCATGGCAACAGACTGGGTGCTCTACACCCCCCTCTATGAGATCTAATATCAGAGGAGAGGGGAGCGTAGAGGCAGCTCCGGTAGGTTTGTTTTATTTATCTATTTAAACTCTGCCTGCAGTAGCCGGGTACGTTAAAAGCCTCTATCTGTATCTGTGATTAGTGCGGCACTAGAGCTCTGAGCTATACAGCAGATACTGGTCTCCTGCGTGTGTTTAGAACTCTGGAGGGTAACTTGCGTCAGTATTACCCAGGCGTGAGTGTGCATTGCTACGATGTAGATGCACTTGGCTGATAATGATGGGAGTGAAGCGCTCATCTCATATAATATCCCCCCTGTAGTGCACAAAGGCAAAGAGGACATTATTTCCCAGAGAGTGACTGGGTGCAGGGTTAGGCCGCCATAAGGAATGTTGCAGGTTGCAGAAATAATGTTTAACCCTGAAATAAGACATTCTTCAGGCACTCAAGGTGCTCAAGCTGCAGGCAGCTTTAATAGGAGCAGCAACGTTTTGACCTGCTAGGAGGTCTTTGTCAAGCTTCAGTACCTTTATTCAGGGGATATATATATATATATATATATATATATATATTTTTTTTTATTCAAGACCCTCCAATGAGAACTTATTGCCTTTCGTGAATGGCTTTGCGGGTGATATATTCACTTAGAGAGAGACGACGCTTTGTGGCCCACCTGGAGGTCTAAGGCGGCCACTTTCTAGGCCCGACCACCTCTAGAGTCTGAAATATCCCTCCCTTGGGTCTCCCCCAAGGACTGGCAAGGGTTAACCCAGCCCAAGCCAACCTACGCCTGGAGACTGTTACATCGAGATGCAATAAAATCTAGGATGGATCACCCCTTTCGTATCCACCACACGGACTAAACCAGACAGACTATTCTAGCTTTCGGTTGTTGTATCGTCATTTCACTCAGTTAAACATACATGGATCCTGATGATGCTGAAAGACGTGTTCATTGTGGTAAGTTAGAATGCTGAATATCTGTCCAGGAATGAAGATACGCACCGCTATGCATGGATGGCTATGAGAATATAAACATCCTATAGAAAGCATGCGGGCAGCCCGAAAAGCTACATGGACTACGTGGGTAGCAGCATCACCAGAATTACAGATTGCAGGAATGCCGAGCCAATTGTCAGCAGATACCACAACGGAGCAGCATTGCGGTTGGGTAGCCTTGGGTTCCTTGAACCTTGGACCTTCCTTTATCATTAGTGCCTAGTGGGCAATGTTTTTTTTTATTTTGTTTTTTAAGTGAACAAGGCAGAGTCTGCTAATTGGTGTTCAGGCCCTTGAGTGTGACACTGGCCCTTTAGCGTCCAGACTGGTTCGTAAGTGAGACCCCCACAATACAGAGGAAATCAGAGAATGGGGAATACCTTGGAGAGCTACGGTGGCATGCCAGTTAAACTGGGTATCAGCAAGAATGGCTATCAGACAAAAGACTCACCTCCAACTTCTTAATGATCTCCTCTTTATCCAAAGGGACTCTCTGCTTGTGTTTGGGGAGAATGACGGAGGCCTCTACGGGACATTAAGGGGAAAGTGAAAGATTAAGATTTACAACACTAGAGCTTCACATTTTAAATAGAAATTCCTCTTACTGAAGTCATAGGTACAGGTTAACATGATGGCTGGAATTCTCCAAGGACCAATGACAAGCCAGGCATGTTCTGATATAATACAGCAATATGGATTACGTCTAGCAATTACATCACATTCCTGCAAGTAGAAACCGCGTGGCACTGCTCCCCAGCAAAGGAGGTACACTCTACAGACTGTAGCAAACAGAGCACAAAAATTGGGATAAAAAGTGTAGAAAAAGGATTGTAAAATACAAAAATAAAAAGATGGTAGGGAAAAATACACTGTGATCTAAAGCAGCATTTAATATGTACAGCAAACCTCACCTCCCTTTGTGACATTGAGGGGAAAGAGGGGGAAGCAGGACATTTTGTGAGTCAGCAAGGTCCGCTCATTAGAACCTGCTATCTCCCAGAATCATAAATCCTAATGTTACATAATTGAAATAGAATTCTGAGCACAGAAAGGGATCCTGCTGATTCATGTCTCGGAAGATTTCTTTTGTTAAGGACTGTCAGTAAAAAGATGCATGTATTACGCCGATCTGACAGCTCCTTGATGGGAATTACCAGCACTTATAGAAATCTAAAGCCGTAATCATAAGGATTTTTTTAGTGGGGTTATAAATAAGTCCGTATTGGCAGTGTGTATTGCCTTCATGGTGCCAGTAGGTGGCGATCTAGCCAAGCATTCAAGGTGCTAATGTCCAATACATCCACAAGGTCTTGGGACAGGGCTGAAATACAGTTATCCTGTATCTAGTGTTAAACTACAACTCCCAGTAAGCACAAACAGCCATTGGCTTATAGCAAAGACACAAGAACCCAGGGTCAAAGTCAAGATCAGCAGCTAAACGATCTTCCCAATCATTGGTTACACCTAAGGTTCAGTAAATTAAGGGATTAACCCTTTCTCGCTGGGCGCTTAATGGATTATAAATATCACTCATTCATGATAACGAGGAGCACATGACAAGCACTGCCCAGCAAAATGCAGAATTAATAAACTACCAGATATGTCAATGATTAAAGGGACACTCCAGACCCCTATAACACTTTAGCTAGCTGGCATGCTTTATTTGTGATGAGTGTGTCTTCCTTTTTTCATTTTACAAAAAGTTCAGCTTTCAATGGAAATTGATACCTTGATAAATTAACCTGGTTACACCCACACAGCTCTCGATAAGCCTGTTATTTACTGATTGTTTAACTCAGTGGAGATAAACTCAAGAGACAAACAATTGCCCGGAGCATCTGCCTTGCCAAGACTTCTCACTGAACTGCCTTGGGAAGTTTGTGATTGGACAGTCACAGAAAGTCTGGGCAGGGTTAGAAGGGGAGGGTTTGCAAAGGCTGCAGACAAGAAATTTGCAGCTTTTGCAAACTATTTTTAGATATAACTTCAATGAAAAAAAAAGCTTAATTAAATACATGTGAGTGTCATTTTTGATAATTAGACTTCTATTCGACAGCATGTAAATGCTACATACTGCATGGCAGCAATGTGTGATGTCCATCAATATATAGGAGTGAAATGTGTCCAGGATTTGTTATGTGACCTATATCACCAAATCTAACATTATATAATGCAATAATTTCCCCAAATTTTTACTATTTAACTCTGTGTTTCCACAAAAACAGCGAGCCTGCACCCAATGATAGACTATTTACTCAGCTGTACTCCCAACTCCTGGACCCCTTTATTAAAGGGTTGTAGCAAAATGTCTGTCAGTAAATGACAGCTGCCTGAGCCAATCAGAAGGCTTCATTTTTGAATATTTTAAGACTCCTGTTAACATGGACGGCACCCATTGGAAAGGCTCATTCTGATTGGTCCGGTCCATGTCAGGGAGAAGCAGGGCAGAAAATAGTAAGAAATGTGGGACATGTCAGGTTCACCCTTCCCAATATGGAGAATAGTCATAGGGCCAGACACTTACTCTCTTTCTTGATCTTCCTTACTTTGATCTTCAATTCACGAGGAAGGAGTTTCCAGTCTGGAAGAGAAATATTAATGTGTAGTATCTTAAGTTAGGATGAAAAGCAGGGCTCCTCACTGTAGTGGGTCTCTCCCCTTCCTATACCTTCAGTTAATACATTTAACTATTTATCTATCCATTACAAAAGGGATTCCTCCCAAGCTTTCGGACACTTTATAGACACAAGTGACCTTTCTAGACCTCACAAGAGATAATGAAAGCGGCATTATACAATACATGTTTTCTGAGAAGTCGCCTAAATGTTTCGATTGCTTCCATGGTAAGACAGGTATCTTCTTAAAGCACAGCTGTCAAACTTGTCAATAATTGTTTTATGTGAAACGCGTCAGGTATGGTGTAACATTTTCCTGTCTGCTTAGCCCCGCCCCCCCATACTATGGCTTTTAAATAGTTATTGACTTTTTTCTTTACACTTTAAAAAAAAAAAAAAAAAATTTAAATTAAATTTCCTGGTCATTGTAAATTTTGTACACTTTACTAAAAAAAATGTTAAAAATTTGCAATCTGGAAAAAAGTATCTTGAAACCTTTTTCTTCAATATAAAGAAATGGCAAAATAATTACTTATTTTCCAAACAATAAGGTTATTGCATGTCAAAGTAATTCCTTTCAAATTCTGGTGCTAGAACATAAGGATGAGTTACGCTTGACTCTTCAATCATCCCTTCAGGAAAACTCAGCAGGACTTGCTATTAATTATCATGAGATAACATCGCTGGTTTGATCTACATAACCCAAGACATTTATTGTGTTCTGGTGAATAGAGGGGGCCTTAGAACATAACGGAGTCTTTGAAAGATGCAGAGAGTGCTCAGATCTGTATAGCACAGAATAAAAAATAAAAAAAAAACGGGCCTAGATGTAAGACAGCTTACCGGGATGCCAGTCGATAGCGTTGTCCACAGGTCCAGACGTCTGATATTTATCAGAGTACCGCTCCACATCTGAGTGAAAAAGAGGATAAAAATAGAAGTTGCTGCATGCGTCACCAAGAGGCGAGATCAATATAGCACGGAGAGCGAAGGTAGCAGCTAGCAAGCAGGGAACAGTCAACACTTATAGCAACAGTCACTAGTGAAATGTGTTACAGATTGAGTGCGTAAGGAAATTTTCACAGCTCGGCAAAAACACACGCACACCTTCATACCTCCGGCTGATTTCATCATAAAATAAAACACTATCTCTAGGGATTAAAGGGATGGAAAGCAGTTTTGCAAAGATAACGATTTATTCACATGAATTCAGAGTAATCTGATACAGACAAGAACAGTCTGGGTTGTTTTTTTTTAAGTGTACAAATAAACAAAACATTTTTAATTTGGATGCACTTTTTTGATCTGTTGAAGAGCACATTATAGCTAATGACACCGCCCTTTTCAAAGCTTCCGGATCCCAGAATCGAAGACTGATTTCCAAGTTCCCATGGTGCACGCACAGCGTTTAGAATCCAATATCCCCTTTACCCCCCCATAAGCCCCCTCCCCCGCCAGCAAAACGAAAATATCTTTATGAAAAATTCACATTGATTGTGTTGGAATTTCAGTCAAACGATATACCGAGAGGCCATACTAGATTTAGTGTTAACAAATGGAGATTTGGTATCAGATATTACTGTAGGTGAACGTTTAGGATCCAGTGATCATCAGTCAGTGTGGTTTAATATAAGAACAGTGACTGAGGCACACCACACAAAAACAAAAGTTTTAGACTTTAGAAAAACAGACTTTTCTAAAATTAGAATATGGGTAGAGGAGTCATTATCAGACTGGAGCAATTTAAATGGAGTCCAAGAGAAATGGGATTATTTAAAAGTTGCACTATTGAAGGCAACAGAAAATTGCATTAGGCTTGTCAGCAAAAGCAAAAAATTCAAGAAACCACTGTGGTACTCCGCAGATGTGGCCAAAATAGTTAAAAACTAAAAGTTAGCATTTAGGAATTATAAAAAAAACCTGAGCGAGGAAGACAAAATGATCTATAAGATTAGGCAGAAAGAGGCTAAGCAAGTTATAAGAGCTTCCAAATCACACACAGAAGAGAAAATAGCACAGTCAGTAAAAAAGGGGGATAAAACATTTTTTAGATACATAAATGAGAAAAGAAAAGTAAAACAAGGATTAGTTAGATTAAAAACAAAAGAAGGAAGGTATGTAGAAGAGGATAAAGGTGTAGCTGACTGCCTCAATGAATATTTTTGTTCTGTATTTACAGATGAAAATGAAGGAAAGGGACCTCAGTTGAGAAAAGGATAAATGAGTCATTTATTACACGTGAGTTTACAGAGGAAGAGGTTCTATTTCAACTGTCAAAAGTAAAGACAAATAAGTCAATGGGACCTGATGGAATACACCCAAAGCTATTAAAAGAGCTTAGTGGTGTACTAGCAAAACCATTAACAGATTTATTTAACCAATCATTGTTAACAGGAGTAGTCCCAGAAGATTGGAAGTTAGCGAATGTTGTGCCCATTTACAAGAAAGGTAATAGGGAGGAGTCGGGCAACTATAGGCCAGTAAGCCTTACTTCAGTAGTGGGGAAAGTGATGGAAACCATGTTAAAGGATAGGATTGATGAACATCTAAAAACACATGGATTTCAAGATCAGAGACAACATGGGTTTACTTCAGGGAGATCATGCCAAACTAATCTTATTGATTTTTTTGATTGGGTAACTAAAATTATAGATCAGGGTGGTGCAGTAGACATTGCTTACCTAGATTTCAGTAAGGCTTTTGACACTGTTGCACATAGAAGGCTTATCAATAAACTGCAATCTTTAAGTTTGGATTCAAATATTGTTGAATGGATAAGGCAGTGGCTGAGTGACAGGCAACAGAGGGTTGTAGTTAATGGAATATATTCGAAGCTTGGACTTGTCACCAGTGGGGTAACTCAGGGATCTGTACTTGGACCCATTCTCTTTAATATTTTTATTAGTGATATTGCAGAAGGTCTTGATAGTAAGGTATGTCTTTTTGCTGATGATACTAAGATATGTAACAGGGTTGATGTTCCAGGAGGGATAAGCCAAATGACAAATGATTTAGGTAAACTAGAAAAATGGTCAGAATTGTGGCAACTGACATTTAATGTGGATAAGTGCAAGATAATGCATCTTGGACGTAAAAACCCAAGGGCAGAGTACAGAATATTTGATAGAGTCCTAACCTCAACATATGAGGAAAGGGATTTAGGGGTGATTATTTCTGATGACTTAAAGGTAGGCAGACAATGTAATAGAGCAGCAGGAAATGCTAGCAGAATGCTTGGTTGTATAGGGAGAGGTATTAGCAGTAGAGAGAGGGAAGTGCTCATGCCATTGTACAGAACACTGGTGAGACCTCACTTGGAGTATTGTACACAGTACTGGAGACCGTATCTTCAGAAGGATATTGATACCTTAGAGAGGGTTCAGAGAGGGGCTACTAAACTGGTTCATGGATTGCGGGATAAAACTTACCAGGAAAGGTTAAAGGATCTTAACATGTATAGCTTGGAGGAAAGACGAGACAGGGGGGATATGATAGAAACATTTAAATATATAAAGGGAATCAACACAGTAAAGGAGGAGACTATATTTAAAAGAAGAAAAACTACCACAACAAGAGGACATAGTCTTAAATTAGAGGGACAAAGGTTTAAAAATAATATCAGGAAGTATTACTTTACTGAGAGGGTAGTGGATGCATGGAATAGTCTTCCAGCTGAAGTGGTAGAGGTTAACACAGTAAAGGAGTTTAAGCATGCGTGGGATAGGCATAAGGCTATCCTAACTATAAGATAAGGCCAGGGACTAATGAAAGTATTTAGAAAATTGGGCAGACTAGATGGGCCGAATGGTTCTTATCTGCCGTCACATTCTATGTTTCTATGTTTCTATGAGACAAAGCAGGGACTATTTTGTTGCAGTATTTTTCCTCCGCCTGACAATTTCAGACACTGGGCGGAGCAATCCATCTAGAAGTGTCAATCTCCCAGTGACAGCTGCAGAGATATTAGCTGTATCTATGGATGATCCCACGGTCTTTAGGGATCCTCTGTAGCAGGGGTGGGCAATCTGCGGCCCTCCAGATGTTTTGGACTACATCTCCCATAATGCTCTTAGGGCCATAATGCTAGCAAAGCATCAAGGGAGATGTAGTCCAAAACATCTGGAGGGCCGCAGAGTGCCCACCCCTGCTCTATATAGAGAGTACGGCAGTGACGTCGGCTCCTGGTGCTGAAGGACCAGGAGCTAAATGTAGCGGTTACCCCGTGTAGCAGAGGGGTTTCAACCGCTGGAGGGTGTCCTTTTCCCGATCAGTGAGGAGGATTCTCAGCATCCAGTCGTAATCCAAGTGAAGAAGCTCTTACAAGAGCAAGTGTGAACAGCTGTATAGCGGTTACCCCCAATAAGAGACAGGACTCTAGATTGAGGGCGAAATAGAACTGATTTTTAATGACAGGTACTCTCCTTTTATGCAGTGCTCCCATGCAAGGGAGACACCCACAGACAATTATGCATTAGCCAATCAAACAATGGTCACTACCCCCATATTTTCCCTCCCCTCTGCTTGGGAGATAATTGAGTTTCTTACTGTATCTACTCAATTATCTCCGAGCTGAAAAATCATACTTTTTATACATTTTTATAACTCCCTGATTTTACATCACATACGAATAAAACTTATATATTTCTGTGATCAGCATAACTTGGGGAGCAACATATGTAACAATCACATGAATCCGTCCAGGGGTTAAAAAGTTACGTTGAGGTCCCTTTATGACCAACCGCAAGCACAGCAAGCAAGCATATTCCTGCAAAAAACAGTTCCATGGATTTGGGCTGTGCGGTCGGTCTATTTTACACTGAGAAAATGTCTAAGTCCCATTCGAACGAGCGTTCGAATCTTCGACCGGGACTAGTATCCAGCCGCAGTGTCGAAGTGGAGTAGAAAGTACGGGTCAGCGGTGATCGTGCAATTGGGTAGCCGAAAACCGTTCCATAGATTTGGCTGCACACACCGCTGACCGCGTTCGAATGAGTTAAAATGGCGGCCGCCATGTGTTCGTTTGTCGAAAGGCGGCCACTTCGACTACTTCGGCTGTATCTGAAGTACCAATTTAAAGTTGTAACACTGCTCCAAAGTTGTTAAAGGGCCAGGAACAGCAATATAAAAATCCATTATGCCCAAATCAGTTCCTAGAAGGGCAATGTGGCTGATGGCAGTAAAACAAAAGGTAGAGGATCCCCAGGCAACCTGGTAGGAGGTTGTTATGGTAGGAAGTTGTTACAACATATATTACAGATTAAACAAAAAACAGGGGGATCTGTGACACTGAAGAGGACTGGCTTAAAGAAAATGGCTGCATCGGCAAAGAACACGTTCAGGTAAGTAAATCTCACCTTTGCCTGCTCCTCCCCCCGGCCACTGGACCACCCGTGGTGATGTCACCATCGGTGGTCTTGGCAAATTATGCAAAGACCCCATATGGTGACAATGATGCTTTAAAGAGAGATTGGAGATTTTAATATTGATTGGTTGAATCCTAAAAATAATAGTTCTTGCTCGCTGTTTAACACTTTGCAGCTAACGCAGTTAATCTCTTCCACAACTCGCATAAACATTAAAAGCCTTAACCATACCCGGCTCGATTGGATTCTCTCCACTTCTCCTGATAGTATCCAGGAGGCAGGTGTTCTCCCAAACAGTTTCAGTGATCACTGCTTAGTGTACTGCGTGCGCAAAATAAAGGCTACTAAATCCTCTCCCAAGGTTAAAATCACCAGGTCCTTCAAAAAATGTAATCCTGAATCCTTTCTAAATGACATCAAGAACCCCCCATGGCACAGATTAAACATTATCCCAGATCTACACTGTGCTGTTTTGGAATTTGCATGCCCCGCTGTGTAAGAGGAGAGTAAAGGGGCACATATGAACTGGATTACAGCTGACCTCATCCAAATGTACCAGTTTTGGGATTCATTGTGGTCAAAGTTCAAGCGTACTGGCTCTATGAACGATCACTATGCATATACACAATGGCAAAATATTAATTGGCCAAGGCCCAATATTTCTGTGAAAATCTGAACATATCCAACCCTTGAAACTTTTGGAAAGTCATAAATAGCTTACAAACTCCCCCAATCTACCCCCAACCCTCCACTGTCAAACCCTGCAACTCCCCTTAAATGTAGCAAATGCCTTTAACAATTATTTTGTCAGATGCTCCACTACCCTGATTGCCAAGCTAGTAAATGACATGCATCCTGAAACTACAAATGTGGATCAGGCACCACTAAATTTGCAAAGACCCAATTTAGAGAAGTTCATTTTTAGACCTGTACCTATTAGTGTCATTAAGAAACACATAAATAATCTAAAAATGAAAATCCAGTCTGGGCCTGATCAAATCCCAGCAATGCTGTTGAAGCTCAGTACGCCGGCAATTGCTAAACCCGTCAGAACCCTAATTAACGAATCCTTGGTGTCTGCATACATACCCAAACTTTGGAAGACTGCGAGAATAGTGCCTATCCATAAAAGTGGTGACACTACTTTGGTTTCTATCTAACGCTCAATATCATTGCTCCCGGTATTGTCAAAAATCTTAGAAAAATGTGTCCATACGCAACTATGTGATTACTAACAACAATCAAACTATCTGACCCCTGATTAATCGGGTTTTCGCCAGAATCACTCCACTACAACTGCCCTCTTAAAAGTTTGCAATGACATCCAAACTGGCATGGAACAAGGAGCTATTTTCCTTGGAGCTATTTTCCTTGATTTTGCAAAGGCCTTTGAAACGGTAGACCACGACATTCTACTGCACAAACATAGAAACATAGAAACATAGAATGTGACGGCAGATAAGAACCATTCGGCCCATCTAGTCTGCCCAATAAACTCAAACTCAAAAACTCAGGTATTGGTGATTGTTCGCTAACCTGGTTTCGATCGTATGTATCGGATCGATCGCAATACGTGTCCATTTCTGACAGCGACTCCCTCCCTCTTCCAGTGATATGTGTTCCCCATTCTCGGCCCCCTACTATTTACATTATTTATATATTATCTGCAAATCCTAAAATGTACACAAGACCAGTTCACAGAAGTAGAAAAGTGGGTCGCAAAAAACAAACTCTTCCTAAACACTGACAAAACTGTCACAATGATCTTTGGAGCAGTACCTAAATTACACAAATTACACAATTCCCATCTATGCATCAAAACAAAATCAAATCGCACACTCACCACAGTCCACTCTTTCAAATACTTGGGTATGTTGTTAGACCACAATCTATCTTTTAGCATCCACATAGAAAAACTTGCATCTAAACTTTATCCAAAACTAGGTGCCCTGTATAGAAACAAATCCCGCCTAAGCCCTACAGTAAAGGAAAAGATTGTACAGCAAATGCTGATGCCAATCATTGATTATGGGGATGTAGCATATGCATCTGCACCGCAATCCCACATTAATAAACTCAACACATTGTATAACTCGTTCTGCCACTTTGTGCTACAATGTAATTACAGGACCCACCATTGTGACATGCTAAAATAACTGAACTGGCTGTCGCTGGAATCCAGACGCACCCTTCATCTTTCCAACCTTGTGTTTAAGAGCTTTTCTGGGAAGCTCCCACCCTACCTGAGCACAATGCTCTCCTTGGCTGTTCCCACTTCCTATAACCTCCGATCCAGTACCAACACTTTATTTAGTCTACCTCAATACAAAAAGAGAGCAGCCTGATCCTCCTTTTCCTACAGAGCGCCGCAATTGTGGAACGACCTCCCGCACACTTTCAAATCTTCCCCAGGCCTAAAATACTTTCCGAGATCCCTCTCTACATACCTCAAAACAGAATGCACCTGTCATAGTTTATTATGTATTTCCTACCTGTTCTATGTTACATTTTGTATATATTGTGCATTAATGTTGTTTTTGTATTTTATTGTACCCTAATGTATCAATGCAATGTTATGTGGACCCTGGACATACTTGAAAACGAGAGAAATCTCAAATGTATCCATCCTAGTAGAATATTTTATAAATAAATAAAGGGACACTATGGCCACCGGTAAAACTTTAATGCATTTGAAAGTCTTGATTAATGTGCTGTGAATATTTACATTTGATAAGGAAGACTTTCAAGAGTGATGGGGCATGGCTAAGGAGACAGACTCATGGTGCTGCATTCTACAAATATTTTGTGCTAAAACTATAAAGATTTAAGCATGCAACAATGACACCATGTTAATGAGACCAAAATCAAATGCATTAATGTTGTACTGGCGCCCAGTTGGTAATTCTACCTTTCACTGCACCCACGGACTCCAGAACCTAAACGGTCCTATTTGGAGGGTAGGTCAAAGAGGTTATGAGGCGACCAGTGACACCAGGGACTTGAAGGAGTGGGGCTCTGAGAAGCCATTAATGTAGACTGGGACTTAGTAACAAACAGTCTGGAACTCTGTGTCGATTTGGAGGATGGTTGCAGGCCGGTTAAACTTTAATCAGTGAATAATCGGGTTAGACACCTCCAATACCAGCGTTTAACAACTTGCTGCCAAGTATGGTAAAACTCACAACATTACACAATTTTACTACAATATTTAGCAGAGATTAGCAGTTAAATGGCTACATAATAAATGTGAAAAAAAAATGTAGGTAAATAGCCTGCAATGTCTGCTTTATATAAAAATATACTTTTGCGTAGCAATTTTGTTTTCTGTGACGGCTAGTAAGCTTACAAGACAAATCCCAAATTCGCTTCACATTAAAGTTTATTTTACTGTTTGCATTTAGTGACCTTTGGCTACCAAAAATAAACTGAAATCCAATACATATGATGCCCTCTGTAAATCAGGGCTAATTAATTCATTTATTTTCAATTACTTTTCTTAAGTTGCACTAATTATGAGAACATTCTTATTGCCGAAGCAGTGAAAACATTTCTGGGACTTATTTGTTGTATTTCTGTGTATTTATTTATAATAAATAAGAATTTATATGTCCTATGAAATTGGTACAATAAATGAGAAAAATTTAAATTGCAGTTGAACACAAACAGATCAAACATTGGTTGTGACTATAGTCACCAGAACAGCTAAAACGTAATGTAGTAGTTCTGGTGTCGTGTCTATAACCTGTCCCTGCAGGCCTTTTAATGTAAACACTGCCTTGTATTGTACGCGCAATAGCCCCACAATGCTTTCGTATGGGAAAACATTGGATTGGCTGAGATCATTTAATTTGATGATCTCAGCAACGGAGGTGAAGCGGGGCCAGCCACGACAAGAGCGGTGCTGCGTGGGGAAAAAGTTAAGCAAGACACCTTCTCAAAGGGAGGCAACGGGGCCTAAACAGTTATTTTAACACAATAATGTTAGAAATACATGTTTGTGTTCCTAATACTATAGTGTATTTCTAAGTGAAAAACCAACAAATGATGCTTGGTCCTAAAGGGGTTATTGAGTAATATTGAGAGTAGTTGTTTGTATAAATGAGTAAAGCAAAATACACTGAGTAGAATGTTCTCCTACCTGCACTCCTTTTATTTCAGTGTAGTTTGTTAGCACATCATTTCAATGATTGAATTACAATTGAAGGTGTGTAAATATGAAATACATACCTTTCTTTGGCGCAGCCGGTTTGATGAAATAAGGGAGATTTTTCATTGCACCCCGTAGCTCTTGTTTCAGCGCCAGCATATACTCTACTTCTTCTCCTGTCTGTAGTGGAATGGGCTTGTAATCTAAGGACTGGGCAAGAGAACAGACACAGAGAGATTCCTGATGGACGGGTATTTACATCTGAGGTTTCAAACTGGAAACTTGAGCGAATGTAATCATTTTAATACCATTAAACATGGCGTGGAATAATTTGATCACGTAGGTGTGACTCATTACACCTACACAAAATTATCTGCAACTCTCCTGAAAAACATACTACATTGCGTGCTCCTCATCTGGCACAGACTTCCACTCCTGCTGACTTTGTCATTGGACGAGACGTTTTGCACAGGTGGATACCACCCCTAAGTTATCCTTATGGCCCTACAAGTGGGGAGTTGAAATACCACTGTAAGCTGTTTTACCGAGAGCTGGTTATAGCTCTGAAAAACATGAGTGGCAATTTTTAGTTCTATGTTGTCTATAGTCCGTAGACTTACAATACTGCACTATTGGTCTCCTATTTTCTCTTTTGCATATGCCATTGAGGTGTGATACCACTCCGGAGACATCTTAGTCAACATTTGAAGACTTTTAAAACCTCACAAGGACATTTTTATCTTTTACTTAGTACCTTTTTTTGATTACTTACCACAATATTGCATTTATTTTGGCGCTACCTGTATCCTTAATTCTGTTTGTTCGATTTATCCTTGAAGGTTTTGAGGGTTACCTTCCTATTCAGGTGTGCAGTCCCCTTGTGATCAGTTATTGTAGCGCTGTTCCACCCTTGCTTTTTTGTGTTCTATACCATAACATTATAGTTATAATACACTGTGTGCAGGGAGACAGGGGACCTCCTTACACCATAACCTTATAGCTGCAGTTATAATACACTGTGTGCAGGGAGACAGGGGACCTCCTTACTCCATAACCTTATAGCTGCAGTTATAATACACTGTGTGCGGGGAGAAAGGGGACCTCCTTACACCATAACCTTATAGCTGCAGTTATAATGCACTGTGTGCGGGGAGACAGAGGACCTCCTTACACCATAACCTTATAGCTGCAGTTATAATACACTGTGTGCAGGGAGACAGGTGACCTCCTTACTCCATAACCTTATAGCTGCAGTTATAATACACTGTGTGCAGGGAGACAGGTGACCTCCTTACACCATAACCTTATAGCTGCAGTTATAATACACTGTGTGTGGGGAGACAGGGGAGCTCCTTACTCCATAACCTTATAGCTGCAGTTATAATACACTGTGTGCAGGGAGACAGGGGGCCTCCTTACTCCATAACCTTATAGCTGCAGTTATAATACACTGTGTGCAGGGAGACAGGTGACCTCCTTACTCCATAACCTTATAGCTGCAGTTATAATACACTGTGTGCAGGGAGACAGGTGACCTCCTTACACCATAACCTTATAGCTGCAGTTATAATACACTGTGTGCGGGGAGACAGGTGCAGGGGAGCTCCTTACACCATAACCTTATAGCTGCAGTTATAATACAATGCTGAGGCTGACCCTTAAAGGCTAATGGCATTAATATACACCTGATTTCAGCTATGGTCAAGCTTTTTAGAGCAACACATCTCTCTGTGGTTGTTATAGTACCAGGAGTGCCCTGACATCCTCCTATTAGTACATAGTCAAATAGCTATAGAACACTTTGTCATCTTACCTGGCATCTGCGGGACGCCACTCCCACCTCCACTAACGATGAAGTGCCAGAAGCTCCTAAGCAGCAGCTTCCGTTAGCTCAGATGAGAGCTTCCGACTCTTCTCTGTTGTTAGTGATGGAACTAGAGAGCAGTGTCCGGTAGACACCAGGTAATTAGATGAAATTGTTCTAAAACGGTTTGACTACTTACAATAGGGGGCACTCCTGGCACCACAAAGCAATCTGAAGTAGTTATGGTGTTTGGGGAGTTCCTAGTGCAAATTATTTACTAAAAACAGTTGTCATGGAGTGACCTTGAGACGCTGTTGCGAGTGAAAAAGGGCAGAAGTTAAGATGATCATATATTAGGTGAACAAGGATGTAAACAGGTTACTGTTATTGTGGTAGAATAGAACAGGCAGGCACCAATCCTTACACTGATTTTAACACATATGGAACAGCAATGGTATTGCCCTCTTAATCATTGGGAGTTTTGTAGAAAAGTTTGAATTTCTTTCTTAGAATTCTCTCCACTTATACACTAAAGCCTGCCAAAATGACAGTACAGACCCAGAAGGGAATATTTCAGGCAGAAAAATGACTGTATACTTTCAGAATACCTGCCTCAAAGCAATTGTAAGGTTTATGCATGTAACGGATCACCTGGCACCCCGACTGGGTACCTCCGTTGAAGGATGCTCCTAGCGCTTCCTGAGGGCTCCAAGCACTCCAGCCGACACCATAAACACCGTAGACTCCTTCAGAGAACAAGGCAGGAACAAGCTCTTAAAAGAGCTTAGCAGTGATATGGCAAGGGAGTATGCAGAGCATAGCAACCCCTTGTAGCAGATTCCCCCAATAAGAGACGGCACTCCAAATTGAGGGTGAAGTAGAACTGATTTACTTGGCACCAAAGGGCCTTCTTTTATGCAAGTTTTACAGTACTGCCCACAGGGTTTTGTAAAATAACCAATAAAGCACGTAACATACAGTAAACCCACACCCATTCACTCCCACAAAATCCTCCCCTCTGCCTGTGATATAATTACTGAACACAATGGGTTAATGTAATTATCACAGGCAGGAAAAATATACTTTTTATACATACACTGTAACTTAAAAAATATACATCCAATCTTCACATTTTCAGAACCAGCATACGTTAACTATAAAAATAACCAAAATTCAGCCAAATCCGTAGAGTACCTAAAAAGTTAGGTGGAAGTCCTTTATGACCGACTGCAAGCACATTTTCCTGCCCAAATAGTTCCATAGATTTGGGCTGTGCGGTCGGTCAATTTCACACTGAAAAATGACTTAGTCCCATTCGAATGCACGAACGAGGCCGTTCGTGCATTTGGCTCAGTATAACAGTAAGTTCAAACTGCCGAACGGGGCCTAGTCTCTGTAGCTGAAAACGGAGTGTAGGAGAAGGTAAGGGTCAGTGGAACTGTGTAGCCGATTTCAGATCCATGGATTTGGCTACACACACCGCTGATCTCGTTCAAATGAACAAAGATGGCCACTGCCACTTGTTGGTTTGCACTAACTGCGGCCACCCAGCGGTCGGCAATTTACCTACAGCAGGCTCCCAGCCTGGGAGGTAAATTGCCTGAACACTTCCACTTCTGGGTGGTCCGCCTGTGTGGTACTTGGTTCAGTAAGCCCCATTGAACCAAGTGTAAAGAAGCCATGAATAAAGTGCTTTAGCCAAGTCTGGGGACACAGGCTTAAAGGGGCAGTGTCCCAAACAAGTCTGGAGACACAAACTTAAAGGGGCATTGCCCCAATTTTTCCCATGTCCCAAAAATGTGCTTAAAGGGCCAGCACCAGTCCAATGAAAGTCCATAAGCCCCAATAATGTCTTTAAAGGGCAATACATCCCAGGGGCCATAGTCACATGGCAGGAGGCTGGCAATCAGTCTTCTCCAATGGCCAGTGGCGAGGTCGGTTTCGCCACAATGCACAATACTCATGGCTGTTTTCTTTGGCTTCTTTTACTTAGAGTAAATAGTACTTGCCATCATATGGACCATATTTTTGGCATTAAAATAGCACTTAAAGCACAATAAACACTAGTGCCCACTGTTGTGGTTATGGTGTGGCATGCCTCTGGTGCCATCCCTTGGTCTGTGCCAAACTGTTTGAGTGGTTTGACACAAACTGAAGGTCCCCCTGGTTTCCATGTGGATGTGACATTACTGCGTTAAATGTATCATAACCATCTATATTTGGACACAACTGTTACAGCGAATGCAGAGGTCGGAGAGTGAGCACGCTCACACCATAGCGACTACAATGGACCTGACTGGTTATGGTGCTTAACGCTTCCTAAAAACATGAAACGAGAAACAAAGTGTCTACTTACTGGGAATAAAAGAGGAGGCTGCAGGGTTGGTGGAGGCAAGGACTCCCCTCGGGTGATCCCTATGGCCTCCACATTAAATGTCATCTGGCCCCGACCTCCACCTCTACCCCTTCCAGACATTTTTAGAGGTTCTGGGACACCGCACAAAACCTACTCCCTAGAGGAATAAAAAGAAAGAAAGTTAGAGAATTATCAATTCAGAACCAACACAGGCAAAGAGGTCTATAAATAGTATAACCAGCTCTCAGTTACCTACCAACTGGACATTCTATTTACTCTATACCTGAGATTACCAATACGGATAATATAACTGGGCATTCTATTTACTCTATACCTGAGATTACCAATACGGATAATATAACTGGACATTCTATTTACTCTATACCTGAGATTACCAATACGGATAATATAACTGGGCATTCTATTTACTCTATACCTGAGATTACCAATACGGATAATATAACTGGGCATTCTATTTACTCTATACCCGAGATTACCAATACGGATAATATAACTGGGCATTCTATTTACTCTATACCTGAGATTACCAATACGGATAATATAACTGGACATTCTATTTACTCTATACCTGAGATTACCAATACGGATAATATAACTGGGCATTCTATTTACTCTATACCCGAGATTACCAATACGGATAATATAACTGGGCATTCTATTTACTCTATACCTGAGATTACCAATACGGATAATATAACTGGACATTCTATTTACTCTATACCTGAGATTACCAATACGGATAATATAACTGGGCATTCTATTTACTCTATACCTGAGATTACCAATACAGATAATATTGATTGCCCAAATGGATAGTAATTATTTCGAAGCCAATAAAAACAGTCTAGCATATTGAAAAGGGACAGCGAGACTTGTATTACTGTAAACGTCATTTTATGTTTCCAAAACTTATATGAACATACCTTTATTACACAAATATATCATTTTACTTTATGTAGTGCCAAAATATTCTGCAATGCTATGCAACAGATATGTGTCCAAGTCTAATAAAATTCTGATATGGGTAATCCATATTTAAAGGGACACTATAGCCACCAGAACAACCATTATTATTATTATTATTATTACTGGTATTTATATAGCGCCAGCATATTCCGTAGCGCTTTACAATATTATCAAAGGGGAGATTTAACAATAAATGAGGCAATTACAAAAACTTACAGGAACAATAGGTTGAAGATGACCCTGCTTAAACAAGCTTACAGTCTATAGGAGGTGGGGTGTAAAACACAACAGTACAGGAAATAGCAATCAGATAAGGTGGGCATGAAGCAGAGCTGGAGGAGAGAATAGAGGGCAATGGACAGGTATATGAGATAGAGTTTACTCTGGGAGGCCATAAGCTTTCCTAAAGAGATGGGTTTTGAGGCACTTCTTAAACGATTCAAGACTAGGGGAGAGTCTGATGGCGGTGGGCAGGCTATTCCAAAGGAAACAGTAGTAAAGGGTCAGTGCTGATAGAACAAACTGGGAAAAGTGAAATTAAGGCAGCTGTCCTCCAAAAGGAAGGGGATCCCTCTATCCCTATAGTAGTGATGCAAGTACAAAATATAAAAAGTGTAGCGGATTAGCGCTACTCTAAAAAGACACTGGTGAGAATATTATAACCAACATTAGATGACTTAAATAGGTCTACAATAGATAGATACACTTAAAAATGGGATAGAATAAGAGACCTAAAATACAAATAAATATAAAATATGATAAATATAATAAAAAATGAAATAAATTATTGAATATATTCCAAACGAAAGGAGCCACCCGTGAGAAGTGCTGCAAGCGTGAGCTGGCCGTACGGGTGCGAGCAGCGGACAGGAGAAGGTCACAGGCAGAGCAGAGAGACCGAGAAGGGACATACATATTGATCTGTGGAGAGATATAAGAGGGGCTAGAATTGGTCAGTGCTTCATAGGTATGTGTTAGCACTTTGAATTGACTCCTATAGGATACAGGAAGCCAATGTAAAGACTGACAGAGGGGAGAGGTGTGAGAGGAATGATAGGAGAGGAAAATCAGCATTCATTACAGACTGTAGCGGGGCAATACGACTTGTGGGAAGACCTATTAGGAGAGAGTTACAATAATCCATGCGGGAAATTACTAGAGCATGGACAAGCTCCTTAGTAGCATCTTGCGTTAGAAAGGGGTGGATGCGGGCTATGTTTTTAAGATGGAATCTACAGGATTTGGTATCAGACTGAATGTGAGGCTCAAATGTGAGTCCAGAATCAAATAGAATGTCAAGACAGCACGCTTGCAAGGATGGACTGATGTGGGTACCACTAACTTGAAGGGAGAGTGAAAGAGAAAAATCAGTATTAGGAGGAGGAAAGACAAGGAGCTCAGTTTTAGAGAGACTGAGTTTAAAAAAGCAGGAGGACATCCAGTCAGAGATGGAAGAAAGGCAAGCAGTGACACATTGCAGGACGGCAGGGGAGGTATATTTGAGTGTCATCTGCATACAGGTGGTAGTGGACTCCAAATTAGGTAATAAGTTTGCCAATAGAGGCAGTATAAAGAGAAAATAGAAGGGGACCAAGTACAGAGTCTTGGGGGACTCCAACAGAGACAGGACAAAGGGAGGAAGTATCATTAGAAAAAGAGACACTGAATGAGCGTTTGGATAGATAGGAGGAAAATCAAGAGAGGACAGTGTCACAGAGACCAAGTGATTGAAGAGTTTGGAGAACATGGTCAACAGTGTCAAAGGCAGCAGAGAGGTCAAGAAGAACTAGTATGGATTAGTGCCCTTTGGATTTAGCTGCAATTAGGTCGTTAGTGACTTTAATAAGAGCAGTCTCAGTAGAGTGGAGAGGGCGGAAGCCAGACTGAAGGGTCAAGGAGAGAGTTGGAATTGAGGAAACAAGTCAGACGGGTAAAGACCAGTCTTTCCATAAACTTTGAGGAAAAAGGGAGCAGGGATATAGGATGATACTTAAAGGGGGGGGACGGGTCAAGAGATGTTTTTTTTTTTTTAAGATGGGTACGACAGTAGCATGTTTTAGGGCAGCAGGGACAACACCAGAAGAGAGAGCAGTTGAAGATATGTGTTAAGGAAGGCACAAGACAAGAGGAGAGAGGTGGACAGGATCAAGCGGCAAGTAGTGGGGCGAGAGGAAAGGAGGCACCTCTTGTTCAGTTGCCGGGGAGAAAGTCTGAAGGGTAGGAAAGGCATGATCCAGGTGTGGTTGAGAAAGAGAACGGCAAGGTGGTGAGAATGCTTCCCTTAGCTGTTCAATCTTGTCAGTAAAGTAACATGCAAAGCGATCGACTGTAAGATTATTTTGGGGGGTGGCAATAGCAGGGCAAAGAAGGGAGTTAAAGGTATTAAAAAGACGCCTGGGATTGCGAGAGCATGAGCTAATGAGAGAGGAAAAGTAGGACTGTCTGGGGAGGGCAAGGGCTTCACTGTATGAACACAATATGAATCTATAATGGAGAAAGTCCGACTGGGTGCGAGACTTCCTCCAGCAGCGTTCAGCACACGAGAGCGTCTCTGCAGGTAGCATGTTGATTTAGTGTGCCGCGGTTGGGGGCGTGTTTTCCTCAAGGTGCATGTTTGGAGCAGGGCTGCAGCGTCTAGGGCAGAGGTAGTGTTATATGAGGAGATAGCCAGTGAGGTACAGGAGTAAGAAGGGATGGATAGAAGTTGGGAATCAATATTAGCTGATGGCTGCTTGAGGTCAATATAATTTAGATTTCTTCTTAGTTGATGGGAGTTAGGAGGTGCTTCCTGGGGCAGCGCTCATCATGGAGACGCTGAACTTTATTTATAGAGATTCACTGATTCAATCCATATCTATGAGGAGGTGCTGATTTGCCAAGCCGGCGTGTAGCCCAGCCCCCATCCCATCTCCTTGCCGATTTCAGCCAATCCAATGCTTTCCTTATGGAAAAGCATTTGATTGGTTGAAATCCTAAATTCTGATGAGTATGGAACATTGTTTTAGACGTTTTTGCATAGTAAATGTGGAACAATTATTTTTTTAAACCAGCAAGCAAACACTTTTAAACAAACGTACAAACCAAAATAAAGAAGAAAAACTTCCAAAGGTATGCAATGAAAGTTTATGAACTTACTGTTAAGTCAAGATGGGGAATTTTGGCAGAAGAGAGAAACCAGACACCAGAGCCTGCTCTGCATGAATCACACTGATCAAACTCCCTCTGTTCTCATGTCAGTAAATCTGTCAGACATTCCCAATGTACTTTTCCAGCATTCCTAGGGATAGGACACTGATTGGGTGGGTGTGGAAAGCATAAGAAAGAAGAAGCAAGTAAATACGGGGGGAAAAAAATCATATGTATCTGTTCGTTTCAGTCTGCACAGTGAGGCAACTCTCTTTGTAGCAGCTGATATTAAGGCTGTCCTAAAAGACTGTGTTAAAACTGCAATTCGTGTGTTTATTCTTCTGTATAGTTAAAACTGTATGTAGTATTCGTATGATTGTTCGGTAGTTTCCATACGAATGAAAACTACCGAACCAATAGACCACCCCAGAGAGAAGTGTGCACCTCATTAAGCTTCACACTTCTCTAACTGCAGGTTAATTGGTACTTTGTGCATGTATCTTGGTGGCCATCTTACGCACGAAAACCTCAGCGGTGTTTGGTCGTCGAGTGTCTGGAACTCAAATCGGACACTCAATTACCCGAACACCGCTGAAACCTCCAGGGCTCTGTAACTCCCGAACGGGAAGGCTAATCAGCCCCCCTGTTCGGTAAGTTAAAAGAACAAGGGGATTCATGCGAATGCAATGTTAATCGTGGATGTCAGGTTTTTATGTGTGTTTTACCTCCCGAACACATGGAACCCTTTTCGGCTACCACCTTGTGTGCGGTCGGTCAAATTGTCCCTTCCACATAACTCCCAAACCCCTGGTCTGATCTGGGTGAATTTTGGATATGTTGGTCACCAAGATCAGGGCTACCAGGGGGTGCCACTTAGCCCCTTGTACCTAACTGTTTTGGGGTACATCCAGAACTTGGGGAAAATTGCAGCAGATATAATGGGATTATGTGTCACACTAAGGGGAGGAGATGTGTGGGAGGTAACTGTGACATTATTGGTTACTGTCCTAATTATGATGAATCCCTCCCTTGCATGGGAGAATGCTTAATAAGGTGGTTGTGTAGATTAAAAGTCAGTTCTGCTCCTGATGCTGTGTGTCGTCCAGTCATTGGGATCTGTATGGGAATATTCGTGGATTACCTTGTTTGCTGGAATTATTACTTTATGGTATTTTTACTATTTGTTCCTGAGCCTCACTGGGATCTTTAGTGGAGTTAACCTGTGGAATACCAGGCCTCCGCTACACTCTTATTCAAAGATAACATTTGAATGAGACAATTGTCTGAAGGAAAAGCAAGTCCCTTTTAGGAATAGTATCACCTATGAAGCATTATATGTGGGGATTGGTTATTTCCACTAAAAATAACATTATTTAATTATAAAGACTACCTGGCATTGTATATGTCTATGGATCTTGTAATGTATTTTTCGGCTATAAACATACTGAGCACTTGGAAAACAATACCAGTACTCCGAATACGAGGAGAGCTCTGTCTGAGAAAATATCTCGAATGTATAACATTCAAAATATCAAAATCCAGAGAACAATGTGTCATGTCCACCCTCTGGCAGTGCTGAACAGATAGGCAGATGAGGCAGTGTGCCAGAACTACATGTTTATCTAATAGTGTTTTACTGTTTTATGAAGAGGACTGTGCCTTGATAGTCATATAATTCTTAGTTATACCCAGCCCTTTCTGACCAGCCTGCAGCCATGTTAAAAAGTGTGTACCCAGTGCCTATTAAAAAAATAAAATAAAAAAATCTGTGTTCATTTTACCCCCATCTCCCCCTCACTCAGTGTGTACCAGCTGTTATATGAAGCAGTGTTCATTGTACCCCATCTCCCCCTCACTCAGTGTGTACCAGCTGTTATATGAAGCAGTGTTCATTGTACCCCATCTCCCCCCTCACTCAGTGTGTACCAGCTGTTATATGAAGCAGGGTTCAGTGTACCCCATCTCCCCCTCACTCAGTGTGTACCAGCTGTTATATGAAGCAGGGTTCATTGTACCCCATCTCCCCCTCACTCAGTGTGTACCAGCTGTTATATGAAGCAGGGTTCATTGTACCCCATCTCCCCCTCACTCAGTGTGTACCAGCTGTTATATGAAGCAGGGTTCAGTGTACCCCATCTCCCCTCACTCAGTGTGTACCAGCTGTTATATGAAGCAGGTTCAGTGTACCCCATCTCTCCCTCACTCAGTGTGTACCAGCTGTTATATGAAGCAGGGTTCATTGTACCCCATCTCTCCCTCACTCAGTGTGTACCAGCTGTTATATGAAGCAGGGTTCATTGTACCCCATCTCCCCCTCACTCAGTGTGTACCAGCTGTTATATGAAGCAGGGTTCATTGTACCCCATCTCTCCCTCACTCAGTGTGTACCAGCTGTTATATGAAGCAGTGTTCATTGTACCCCATCTCCCCCCTCACTCAGTGTGTACCAGCTGTTATATGAAGCAGGGTTCATTGTACCCCATCTCCCCCTCACTCAGTGTGTACCAGCTGTTATATGAAGCAGGGTTCATTGTACCCCATCTCCCCTCACTCAGTGTGTACCAGCTGTTATATGAAGCAGGGTTCATTGTACCCCATCTCTCCCTCACTCAGTGTGTACCAGCTGTTATATGAAGCAGGGATCATTGTACCCCATCTCCCCCTCACTCAGTGTGTACCAGCTGTTATATGAAGCAGGGTTCAGTGTACCCCATCTCCCTCTCACTCAGTGTGTACCAGCTGTTATATGAAGCAGGGTTCAGTGTACCCCATCTCCCTCTCACTCAGTGTGTACCAGCTGTTATATGAAGCAGGGTTCATTGTACCCCATCTCCCTCTCACTCAGTGTGTACCAGCTGTTATATGAAGCAGGGATCATTGTACCCCATCTCCCCCTCACTCAGTGTGTACCAGCTGTTATATGAAGCAGGGTTCAGTGTACCCCATCTCCCCCTCACTCAGTGTGTGCCGGCTGTTATATGAAGCAGGGTTCGTTGTGCCCCATCTCCCTCTCACTCGGTGTGTACCAGCTGTTACATGAAACTTCATTGTGTATCTCCCCCTCACTCAGTGTGTACCAGCTGTTATATGGCAGGGATCAGTGTACCCCATCTCCCCCTCACTCGGTGTGTACCAGCTGTTATATGAAGCAGGGTTCATTGTACCCCCATCTCCCCCTCACTCAGTGTGTACCAGCTGTTATATGAAGCAGGGTTCATTGTAGCCCATTATATAATGCACATTGTATCACTGATTACCTCACTGCATGCTCCCCACGTGTGGAACGCACAGCTACCGGCGCAGGATGATGACGCACAGAGGCACGCCCCTCTGACTGCATTGCCTGTCTGTCAGAATGGCAGCAGCCTATCAGAGGGAAGCAGGTAGGCGGGGCAATGTCTGATAGCAGAAAGCTGGACAGACTGGGTTTTTGTTACAGTGAGGGAGCTGGCTGTCTGCCAGGAGACATGTTCCATTAATATGGGAGGAGTTAGGAGACACTGATTGTGTGTTAGTGTGTCAGAGATAGTGTGTCAGAGATAGTGTGAGAGATAGTGTGATAGTGTGAGTGTGTCAGGGATAGGGTGAGTGTGTCAGGGTTAGTGTGTCAGGGATAGTGTGTTAGTGTGTCAGGGTTAGTGTGTCAGGGATAGTGTGAGTGTGTCAGAGATAGTGTGAGTGTGTCAGGGATAGGGTTAGTGTGTCAGGGATAGGGTTAGTGTGTCAGAGATAGTGTGTCAGGGATAGTGTTAGTGTGTCAGAGATAGTGTGTCATAGATAGTGTGTTAGTGTGTCATAGATAGGGTTAGTGTGTCAGGGATAGGGTTAGTGTGTCAGGGATAGGGTTAGTGTGTCAGGGATAGTGTGTCAGGGATAGTGTGTCAGTGTGTCATAGATAGTGTGTTAGTGTGTCAGGGATAGGGTTAGTGTGTCAGGGATAGGGTTAGTGTGTCAGGGATAGGGTTAGTGTGTCAGGGATAGGGATAGTGTGTCAGGGATAGTGTGTCAGGGATAGTGTGTCAGTGTGTCAGAGATAGTGTGATAGTGTGAGTGTGTCAGGGATAGGGTTAGTGTGTCAGGGATAGTGTGTCAGTGTGTCAGAGATAGTGTGATAGTGTGAGTGTGTCAGGGATAGGGTTAGTGTGTCAGGGATAGGGTGAGTGTGTCAGGGATAGTGTGTCAGAGATGGTGTGAGTGTGTCAGAGATAGTGTGAGTGTGTCAGAGATAGTGTGAGTGTGTCAGGGATAGGGTTAGTGTGTCAAAGAGTGTTAGTGTTTTAGTGTGTCAGGGATATGTTAGTGTGCTGGGGTTAGTGTTAGTGTGTCAGGGATAGTGTGTTAGTGTGTCAGGGATAGTGTGTCAGGGATAGTGTGTCAGGGATAGTGGTAGTGTGTCAGGGATAGTGGTAGTGTGTCAGGGATAGTGTGTCAGGGATAGTGTGTCAGGGATAGTTTTAGTGTTTTAGTGTGTCAGGGATATGTTAGTGTTAGTGTGTTAGTGTGTCAGGGATAGTGTGTTAGTGTGCATCTTCTGTTGAGCTTCAGCTGGTAGACAGATGGCCTTATGTTCTCCTGCAAAATGTCTTGATAAACTTGGGAATTCATTTTTCCTTTGATGACAGCAATCCGTCCAGGCCCTGATGCAGCAAAGCAGCCCCAAACCATGATGTCCCCACCACCGTACTTCACAGTTGGGATGAGGTTTTGATGTTGGTGTGCTGTGCCTTTTTTTCGCCACACATAGTGTTGTGTGTTTCTTCCAAACAACTCAACTTTGGTTTCATCTGTCCACAGAATATTTTGCCAGTACTGCTGTGGAACATCCAGGTGCTCTTGTGCAAACTGTAAATGTGCAGCAATGTTTTGTTTGGACAGCAGTGGCTTTCTCTGTGGTATCCCCCATGAAATCCATTCTTGTTTAGTGTTTTACGAATTGTAGATTGGCTAACAGGGATGTTAGCATTTGCTATTGACTTTTGTAAGTCTTTAGCTGACACTCTAGGATTCTTCTTCACCTCTTTGAGCAGTCTGCGCTGTGCTCTTGCAGTCATATTTACAGGACGGCCACTCCTAGGGAGAGTAGCAGCAGTGCTGAACTTTCTCCATTTATAGACAATTTGTCTTACCGTGGACTGATGAACAGCAAGGCTTTTGGAGATACTTTTATAACCCTTTCCAGCTTTATGAAAGTCAACAATTCTTAATCGTAGGTCTTCTGAGAGCTCTTTTGTGCAAGGCATCATTCACATCAGGCAATGCTTCTTGTGAAAAGCAAACCCAGAACTGGTGTGTGTTTTTTTTTTATAGGGCAGGGCAGCTGTAACCAACACCTCCAATCTCATCTTATTGATTGGACTCCAGTTGGCTGACATCTCACTCCAATTAGCTCTTGGAGATGTCATTAGTCTAGGGGTTCACATACTTTTTCCACCTGCACTGTGAATGTTTACATGGTGTGTTCAATAAAAACATGGCAACATTTCATTCTTTGTGTGTTATTAGTTTAAGCAGACTGTGATTGTCTATTGTTGTGACTTAGATGATGATCAGATCACATTTTATGACCAATTTGTGCAGAAATCCATATCATTCCAAAGGGTTCACATACTTTTTCTTGCAACTGTACGTTGATTCAATGCATCTCTACGAGGAGATGCTGTTTGGTGCATGCCCAATCTATATTGTAAGATTTATTCTTCAACAGCAAAAAGTGATATTGGTCCAAGAAAAAATGGTGAATCTGGCAACCCGGATGGGTTGTGATGTGAGTTGCATCTTGCTATGAATGTATGTAATAGCATTGGACATCTCTGTGTATTTTGCTTGTTTCAGCTATTTTCGTCTTGGATTTGAAATTTGAATTTCTGACAATTCTCAATTTAGTGACTAACCCTGTGTGTTTTTCAGGATCAGCATTGCTGTATGGACAGAGGCCGCCTGGTAGCTGAAGCACGGTCGTCTGCATGTACACTAGTCTAGGATGGAGCCACCTATAAATAAATTGGATGTTTAACCCATCATGGTAAAATTTTATTATGAAGTTAAAAAGCTATTGATGTACTTGGAAAAATGCTCAGTCGTCTATTTATTTATATTCAGGTATTCTCACCTAAATTTAAAATTTACTTTGATTTCTTGTCAACTGGCAATCTATAGAATAGCCCTGAATTGTAGCCAACAAAAAATTAAATATCAATATTAAGGCCAACATAGCTGATTTGGAGACATTCTCCAAATCAGCTAAAGTCACAGTTTGACTCTTTTTAGTCTATTTGATTTCCAGTTTCACGAAAGAAACTGATCAACGTTATTCAATAAGCTGTTGTGGGAAGTTCATAGCACAGTTCAAATGTTAGACCAGACTAGCCGAGCTAAAAAGATAACCGACTTGGAGAGTTTATTTAATTTGGTTATTTTTGGCTATGAAATTCACTTAGGATTACCAACAGTTTGCAGTTTATTGAATCACCCTGTTTGCATGTTTACCAGTGTGTTGTATACACGTGTGTAGCCCTGATTTCTAGCACTGAACACTGATGTGTGTTTATAAAGAGCAGTAAACGCATGGGGAAAAAAAAGGAACATATCAAATGTAGATCAGCCATACTCTAAATAAACATTAAAGAGACGCTAAAAGCACCATAACCACTGAAGCGTAAGCTGGTGCTTGGAAGCTGTCCCTGGACCGGAGCCTCCTGTGCACTCAGCAGCTAGTGGCTATCTCAGCATGCAGTGTCTGTGTATGGATATTCTTGTGTAGCTGAACTGCAGGGCTGCCGATAACACTCAGTGTGCACGCTCACATGCCCCCCTTAATGGCTGTGCAAAAACCTTATCTCCAGATATGCATGGTAGTGCATAAACATCATGCTTTGTAACCGTTTATATTTATGTGCATATCAACTTTAAATGTCTGTTTTGCAGTGATGTGGGCCCTATCTATGCACACACAGGCAGAATTTGAGACATTTAAAGCATATTTGTATCGCTTTTACAGTAGTTTTTTTTTATAGTCCTGTTATATGGGATATCATTTTAATGTGTTCTGTGTTCAAGTTATTGCTCTGAAAATATAAGGACCGTTTAACAGTACGGGCTTCACTTCTTGAAGACTGTCTAAGGTACAATTAGTATGCTGATAACTCCAGTGCTCTTCAATTGATCACCGTTCAATACCTGTAACTTGATTGTTGACTGACTTCAGCCATCAAGCTAGCTACACAGCAGAATCAGCCAATTGTCACTGCGATATTTAGGTCGGAAAGTGAAGCCTACAATTTTAAACAATCTCTACATTTACAACAATTAAAACACACACAGCATTTAGGCAAAGTTAGAAGAGTCCGAATTTAAGTTGAGTCCTTCAGTTCTGTCTTGTATTCCACTTCTCATGAACTTGTTTATTAATGATATTGTAATAGATAGTCATTGTAAGTCATGTGTCAGTGTTTACTGATGACAAAGTCTAGGTAAGCTAATACAGTGGGAGCAGGATAGTGGCTGACAAGATTTAATGTAGATAAATGCAAAGTTGTGTATTTTGGGGTAAGGAATGCACAAGCAATGTATACTCTAAATGTTACTGCGTTTGGAAAACAATAAATTAGAAAAACATGAGAATAGTTATAGACAGCAGACTAGTCAACAATGTGCAATGTCTGAAAGCGGTTGCTATGGTCTGTAAGGTGTTGACATGGAAAAAGGTTTAATTAAAAGGAGGTTTAATTAATTGGACAAAAATACAATCTTGCCTCTTTATAAATCCATGCCAAGACCCCACCTTGAATATGCCGTGCACGTTTTTGGCACCTTGTTTAGAGAAGGATGCTATGGAACTTGAAAAAGTGTAGAGGTGGCCTACAAAATGAAATAGTGGACTGGAAGATTTTAGTTATAAATAAACAATCGAAAACTTGAATTCGTATACTTTAGAAAAAAGGCGACTCAGAGGAAAAATGATAATATTATGTAAATATATACAGAGCCTGTACAAACCGCTCTCTAGTAATCTGTTCTAGGCACTATAACCATATCATCATTGTCCCTCCATGCAGTGTTAAACCATTTTTGTACAGTTTAACACTGAATGAGGATACCTGGGTTCCCAAAGCCCCACCCCCAAGGAGGGATAGCTAAGGCAGTGTTTACACACTTCCTTGTAGCCATACTGATTCATATTTGAAATGACACCATGATAGGCTGAATGCAGTCAGCTGACACTGTCAGCCAATTACTGCCACTTATTGCTCCTCTGGCCAATCATTAGCCCAAGCAGCACAGATGGAGTGGGCTGCTGTGGACTCTCGTTTTTCATTAAAACATTAAAACTGTTTAATGCTGAATGGAAGGACAGCAACAGGTGACTCCAGACTCTATAGTCACTTTAATAAAATAAAGTAGCTATGGGGCCTACAGTGTCCCTTTGATAGTTCTGTACAAAGGAAAACGGTTACCCATTTAGACTTGAAGAGAGGAAATTTCACCTATGACAGTGAAAAGGGTTGTTTGCAGTAAATACAATATAGATTGTATTGTCTGTTGTATTATCTGTACAGATTTGATTTTATTTTTTTAAACCCTTGATGCTTTTTTAGAAACCCAGAGAATATCCAAGGCTATATTAGTTAATATGTGGGGTAACAACTGAAGTAAAAAAAAGGAATAGTTTCACAATTTTGCCAAAATGTTAAATCGCTTCAAACCCGTTTTTCTCCTTACAGATACAGATGCGTAAAGGCTGAACTTGATGGATGTTTTTTTCCCCTGTCTATAGTACTATGCTACTGTAACAGATGTGCTTTAAGTTAAATGGTAGCCTATGACATCATGTATATGCAACACACCATAGCACACGATGTCACTGGTTCCACACGCTTTGGAAGAGGTAGGTACCTCTATGTAGAGGCTACAGATGGTGGTAAATATGTAATTGTGATCTATAGAATGCCCAGCTTAACATATTCCTTATTTATGTAATAATGAAACAGCAAATTTATTTCATATGTATTAAGCAACTCTAACATGTGTCTTAGAAGTTGAAGTGGAAATGACAAGATGAGCTTCCGTGTGGATATTAAAAAATGCCATCTCAAGGCTTCATTTGAAGCAGAGCGCAAATTCTCAACAGCAAATTGCTTTTATAGTGCCTTGCGATAGCAGCCGTGGCAGGGAGCTTCAAAAACAGTCATTACATGTTTAACTCGATTGCCCGAGAAGTGCATCTGCTAATAAAAGTGTGCAGTTTACATCACCTAAACAAGAACTAATGAAATCATCAGGCTCTTCGTGTTTTAACCCTATTTACTAACAGAATAGACCAATTGTAGAGTGGATCAGAGAAATACACCAAATCAGGTGATGGGCAATCTATACTGTATAAATTTATTTTATTTTTTTATTTTATTGGGCCCCCCTGCCCTTGTTCCTTTTACGATTAAGAATTGCATCTAAGTAACCATTTACTTACGTTTTTCCAGTGTCAAGACTGAGTCCGCTCTGCCTCCTTTCATCAGTAACCATTCTGACATCTTCCGACTTCTTGGACGTCTTGTGCAATCCGCCTTTTCTCATAGAGAAGCATTATGAGCTAGCATTCCTGAGAAGCATCAGAATACTCTCGATGTCCTCATGCAATCTATGAGGATGTAGTTTATCGAGAACCAGAGTCTGATTTGGTTCTCTCTCCGAAAGCACCACCTAGTGGCTGTCAGTGTAATAGCCACTAAAGGTGTGCTTAGCCCAGCAATGAAAACATTGCTGTTTCTCTAAACCAGCAATGTTTTACACTGCAGGAGCAAACACCAGAGGCACTGCACACAGATCACTTCATCTCTATGAAATGGTCTGGGTGCCTACAGTATCCCTTTAAATGCAGAGTCCTGTAATGTCACTATGGCAACAGAAACTGTTGCCAAATGTATGCAATCTGTGTACATTTTCTTAGTGTGTTGATCTGCAGCATGTCATTCAGTGATTTGTACTTGCCAACAGTTGCTACGTTTTCGGTTTAAACATTTTGGCCTAATATTTGAAAATCACTTAAAGTGCTCTACCCATACCACAATGAGCACATTCATGTCACACTATAGGCAACACTGATCCTTAAATTCACCACAAAATTGTTCCTGAACTATATTTCCCATAATGCATTGATGGGCTCTCCTCAATGGCCTACAATTATACAGTTCTGGATTAATCTTTATCATTATCCAAATTGGCATGTTTGGTCCAAACTGTTAAGCTCAGATCTCAGCCTATTATTAGTGGGATACTATAGAGTCAGTCACACAATCATTGCTGACACTATAGTGGTAAAATAACGGTTTAGGTAACTGGCCCCCCTCTCTTTACTTTAAAATTTTATTTTTATTCACCCTTTTCCCGTGCCACGCCAGTCTGGCCCAGTGCCTTTTTCTACTGCCTCCATGGCTGAGATCATCAGTCTTGATGATCTCAGCCAATACAATGCTTCCCCATAGAAGATACTTAACACCAGTGCTGCACACTGTGCAGCACTTACCCAGGAAGCAGCTCTCGTGGCCATCTGAGTGACTGCCACTAGAGACGTTTCTAGGCACTAATGTAAACACTGCAGAGAAAAGGCAGTGTTTAACTAAAAACGTCTGCAGGATAGGCTATAGACACCATAACAACTACATTAAGCTATAGTTGTTCTGGTGACTATAGTGTCCCTTTAAGAGAATAAACTCCTTTTTTAAAAATTATTCCATATTATGAAAATGTCATGTTTTCTCCTTATATATGCAATCAAATCACTTTTCTTTTCTCCTTATCACCTTTTTTGTTTGTTCCCAAGGATTTTGCAACATGGTGCTTTGGCAGTAATTTGGTATCCTCTTAAACTTCCTATTTGTTATGTTTTGAACAAGATAACCCATTGTCCAAGAGCTATGAGAATGGGAGTCGCTCAACAAAACCATTAAGCACACAAATCCTGCAAGCGTCATGAAAGGAGTATTAAAACACAGCACATTTCCCTGCAATCTATTGCGTGTATAAAATGGCCTTGATGGAAAACCGAGAAGAAAAACAGCTTTAAAAAAACTTGTTTCCTGAGCCTCAGGTCCTTTGTGAAGCTGTGTGATACACAGATGACTAAACACTAATGTTCCCAACACAATATTGTGTGTCCTTCTGACCGGCATAACAGTGTGACTCACTCATAGGCTGTTTTATTGGCTGGTGAAAGTCATAGGACACAGATTCAGAACATTTCACAGCAGTACTGTTGCTTAACCAATCATGTTCATATACGTGTATTGGGACTTTGAGCAAACCGTGCACCAGCCTAGATCTCTTCCCCAGCTACATGTCTTTTTACATGTGTTTTGGTATCTCAGGTGAGTCTGTTGATCCTAAGGAACCAAGGGTCTTGTGGAATTCTAACTCAAGAAGAACCTGCAATTTTACTGTTCTTTAGGTTGGGGGGGGGAGGGTTGACTCTAGTACCCTGTATTTGCTCAATACCTCTATAGATTCCAGCCCAGATCACTGAAGAATCCAGAGATGATCTGAGGCCAAGATATAAGTATGCAGAAAGAAGAGATGGACCCCGATGATTAGGGATGTGAATGGGAAAAAAATTGTCAGGGAATTCGGCACTTCAGTTCAGTTCGGGAATTTGGCACTTCAGTTCGGCAATCTGAAGTTTGGGACTTCGGCAATTCCCTAAACATAACCCTACCCCTAACCTAACCCCAACCCCAACCCTAACCCTACCCCTAAGGTTAGGGTTAGATTCCTGTCATCATTCCCTTAATTTTCCCTCCCTCTCCTGTTTTGCCACTTTTCAGAAGTCCAAAGCTCTTCGGCACTTCCCGAAATTCGTCACTTCGGCAATTCGGTTCGGCACTTCCGAATTTAAATTCGGACCGAAACGAATTGCACATGTCTACCAATGATGTCTCAAAGTTCTGGAGAAGATCAGCACTTCTTCACCCATGCTTACTTTTTCTGCTATCAGAAATAATGTTTGTTTTTTGTTATGCAAAAAAAATCTCATTGCAATATGTGGTCTTCAGATAGGTAGTATAGAAATGTATGTAGCGGAGATGCAATATTCCCCAGGTTATCTCCGCTTATAATCCAAGTGAGGCTCAGGAACAAGTAAATTGTAAATCCACAGGCAAGGTTTCCAGCAGGCAAAATAACACAGCAGTATCCCAGCAGCAATCCCAATAACTGGACGACACACAGTTTCAGGAGCAGAACTGAAAGCTTTATTCCACACTGGCTTTTTAAAGCATGCTCCCATGCAAGGGAGGGATTACAATCATTAATACAGTAGCCAATCCTGTCCTGGTAACCTCCTCCCCTCAGCCGGCATCACAATCCCCTTATCCAGTACAACAATTCCCCCCGTTTCTGGATGTACCCCTAAACGTAGGGGTACCCCTTTAAATCATACATCCCCTGGTAACCCTGATCTGGGTGAACAACATATCCAAAAATCACCCAGATCAGACCAGGGGTTCGGGAAATTTATGGAGGGAATAAAATGACCCGGAGTCAGGGAATGAATGGCACGAAAACCTCTAGCTATAGAGGCTAGGGAGGGTTTGCCTGAATCCCCTCGTTCGGTTCTTTCTATCTTCCGAACGAGGGGCCGTTCGGTAGTTAGGAACCGAACGGACCGGGCTTGTGGAGGTTTCAGCGGTGTTCGCCTAGTCGAGTGTCCGATTTGAGTTCCAGACACTCGACGGCAAAACACCGCTGTTTGCCACGTGTTCGTTTTTCGAATGGCGGCCACCCCCGAGAACAAAGGATGGCTACTTAACTTGTCAATTACCCGTTTGCAACAATGTTGCAACGGGTAATTGAGGACACACTTCACACAGGGGAGGTCTGACTGTTCGGTAGTTTCATTCGAACAAACTAAGGGAATAAAACTACCTAACATTCAGACGAATACAATACATCAAATACATAGAACCTTGCTGTTTTCACACGAATGCATTAAAATACATGAAATTCTCAGGACAGCCCAGGGCCATTCGCTACAATGTATATTCTACCTCCAAGTATCCCATGAGTATAGCTAAGGGTGAAATCCAACTAGGTTTTTATTTGTGTGTTTAAAGTGGCATGGGCAAGTGTGATGGGAAATGGGGCTCTGGAACAGTGCTTAAAATAGCCTGGTTATCAGCTACTCATTAAGCAATAAACTCTAATATGTCATAGCTATTCATAAATTGAGATCTAACTTGTGAATTGAAGTTGGTCTCCTGGGATAGTTGTTGGCTAGCATAGTGTCTGTCCAGCGGTAATAGTGACTGGAAATTTGGGTGGTTAGCTAGGAAAGCTTTTGGATAGGACGAGGTCTGGTTTGCTGTCTAGTGAACTAGAAATGTGGTTGTAGAGGTAGTACAAGCAGTAAGAAAACACAAAACTAGTCTCTTTGTAATACAAATGGTGCATGGCCTTCAGGTCTTTGCCACAACCAGCAACAATAAAGAAAGATAGATCCAGCAGTCCTTTTTGGCAAACTAGGTCCTGTTTGTTCTATCAAGACACCAACTGAGCTGTAGATTGTGAGAAAAAATATAGAATAATAACTTTCTTACTGAGGGGGAAAGGGGAGAGCTTGAACCTGGAAATTGAAATAAGTGGTGCCAGGAAAGAGAAAGTAGAGAATGAAGATGGATTATTGCTGATGTTCGAAAGTAGAGAATGAAGATGGATTATGGCTGATGTTCTAAGGAAAGAGAAAGTAGAGAATGAAGATGGATTATGGCTGATGTTCTAAGGAAAGGAGAAAGTAGAGAATGAAGATGGATTATGGCTGATGTTCTAAGGAAGGAGAAAGTAGAGAATGAAGATGGATTATGGCTGATGTTCTAAGGAAAGAGAAAGTAGAGAATGAAGATGGATTATGGCTGATGTTCTAAGGAAGGAGAAAGTAGAGAATGAAGATGGATTATGGCTGATGTTCTAAGGAAGGAGAAAGTAGAGAATGAAAATGGATTATGGCTGATGTTCTAAGGAAGGAGAAAGTAGACAGGTAGGTGCAAGTAAAGGACACAGGTAGTTAGTGGAGATGGATAGCTGAAGTTGTGTGTGTAGTCCAACAACAGGTTGATTCATTGTCAGGGTTGATTTCTTAATTTTCTACACTGGTTATATGATACAGCAAACCTTACTAACGTAGTAATTTATATCCCTGCTTGAAAACAGTTGAGTTAAACCTTTTGTCTTTAAAGAATTTCCCAAGACTGGTGTGGCAAAAGTGACCTCACCACTAGTTCTTGGAGGGGCCTGTTTGCCAGCCTCCTACCCTGTGACAATGGCCCCTGTGATAAACCTTGTTTAAAAATACTGTTTGTGCCCTTTTGGACTGGTACAGTACCACTTCAACTCCTGAAGTGGTTCGAAGTGACACTTCGAACTCCCGAACAGTCAAAGGGAGTCGAAGTGGCCGCCATTCGACATTTGAACACGTGGCGGCGGCCATCTTGTTTAGTCGAACGCGTTCAGCAGTGTTTTGTCGTTGAGTTCATAGAACTCAAATCGGACACGTGACGGCACGAACACCGCTGAACAGTTACCTTCCATGGAACATCGGTGTAGCGGAGCGGCAATATTAAATCCCACGAACTCCGCTGGTAAAGAAGGTAATCCACAGTCAAGCGCTGAAAAGTAAGACAATATCCCAAATCCCCCAGTAACCGGACGAAACACAGTTCTGGGAGTCAACTGAGGTCTTTATTCACATGCTCCAGTATTTATACAATTCCCCATGCAAGGGGTTTCCTGAGTCACATCACAGGGGTATTACAGGAGTGGACTACATGGGAAACTTAAATCACAGAGCATTTCTCCCATCAGGCACTGCTGCACGAGAGGGATACTCCCACTGGAATGTACCATTAAGTGGATTATCCCTCCGTGCAGCAGAACCGACAATTCACATTAAAATCTATAACTTTTTAATAATACTTGGCAGATTTAAACAAATGGACGTTCGGTAGATAGCTTGGGTCTGAGCGCACAGTTCGTGAGACTACCGCTCAGATCCCAGCTAAAACAACCGAACGCCGCACGAAATACACTTTGCCATAGAGTTCGCCCCAAAATACCGAACACCGATGGGGAACCCTAATGGCGAAAGACCGGAGCTCCCGAACGGCCTGGAAGCCCAGCGGTGTTCGCGCTGTCGAGTAGCCGTTTTCAGTTCCACGCACTCGACGACCAAACACCGCTGGGGAGACAAAGGATCCAAGATGGCTGACCGTCGTGTGGTCGGTAGCCGAACGACGGCCACCTAGGAAAGCCTCTAATTACCGATTGCAACATTAGGGGGTAGCTCATTCGGTTCAAGAACAGACCGCAATGGTGCTGTTCGTGAAACGAAACACATGAATGCTAGCAGCTTTTGGCAGCTAGCATACGAATGCAATACAACATACAATAATACACAGGATACAGCCAGTGAATACAAAAATTCACCAGAATAATACAGGCAACCTTTTTATACATCTAGTCCATGTTGTTATAAGTGGCTAGGTTTGCCACAATGCTCCCTCAGAAGCAAGCCGGCATACACAGTCTGATCCCAACGGATCGGCTTGGGGATGTCCGGAGAGTGCTCACAGATCACTTCTCGAGTTCAGTCTGTGTGGATAACCCGTCGGCGTTACCGTTTTGTTTTCCTGGGCGATAATGGATTGTGAAGTCAAAAGGCTGCAGCGCCAAACTCCAGTGCAGCAGCCTGGCATTGTCTCCAGCCACACGGTTTAGCCACACCAATGGGTTGTGATCTGTGAGCAGGGAAAAAGGTTGTCCATAGAGGTACGGCTGTAACTTTTTGAGGGCCCACACCACGGCCAAACATTCCTTTTCTATGGCGGCGTCGCTTACCTCTCGGGGTAACAATTTCCGGCTTAGATATGCTACGGGATGTTCTCCGCCATCGGCTCCAACTTGGCTCAGTACTGCTCCCAATCCAAACATCGAAGCGTCTGTGTGGACAAGAAATCGTTTAGTTGGATCAGGATCAGCAAGTACAGGTGCATTAGTTAGAGCCGTCTTGAGTTGGTTGAATGCCTGATCACACTCTGGGGCCCAGGCGACCTGTCGGGGCAGATTCTTGCGGGTCAGGTCAGTCAGGGGTTTTACCAGGGCCCTGTAATTGGGCACGAATTTTCTGTAGTACCCTGCGGTGCCCAGGAAAGCGAGTACTTGGGTCTTGGTCCTAGGGGTGGGCCACTTAGCTACGGCTTCAATTTTAGCTGGTTCGGGTTTTTGTTGCCCGCTTCCCACCCGGTGGCCCAAGTACTGTACTTCGGCCATCCCTATATGACACTTGCTAGGTTTCAGTGTCAATCACTGCCCCTATGTGTTGTAGATGTTCTGCCCAGGTCTGGCTATATATAGAGATGTCGTCCAGATATGCGCAGGCATATTCCTGGAACCCATCCAGTAGCCGATCTGCTGAAAAGTTACCGGAGCGTTTTTCATCCCGAAGGGCTTGACCCGAAACTGGTACAGGCCAAACGGGGTGACAAACACCGACTTGGGGATGGCATCCTCGGCTAGTGGAATCTGCCAGTATCCCTTACATAAATCTATGGTAGTGAGATACTGGCCTCGTGCCATCTTATCCAGCAGCTCGTCTATCCGGGGCATCGGATAGGCATCAGACACCGTTTTGTCGTTCAGCCTCCGGTAGTCCACACAAAACCGTGTTGTACCATCCTTCTTAGGTACCAGCACTACCGACGATGCCCAGGGGCTATCGGAATGTTCAATAACCCCTAGCTGCAACATCTCCTCAATCTCCTTCCTCATATGTTCCCTGACTGCTTCAGGGATCCGATATGGGGTCTGCCGCATAGGTAGCTGTCCAGGGGTCTCGACTTGGTGAGTGGCTAGCGGAGTGTACCCAGGTAAATTGGAGAAGGTGGCTCCTTTAGCCGCTATCAACTCTTGTAGCTGGGCTCGCTCTTGAGGGCTTAGCTGCTGTTGAACCCCCTTGGAGGGCTCTGTCTGGTCATCCTGTTCTAATAGGTCAGGTAGCAGCAGATTCTCCTGATCCTCAGAGGCTGGGGTGCATATGGCTGCCACGTCCTCTATTCTCTCATGGTAGGATTTGAGCATGTTCACGTGGAGCATGCGTCTCTTCCCTACCCCTGAGCAGGGGCCAATCACATAGGTGGTGTCACATCTCTGTTCCACCACCTGGTATGGGCCTTGCCAGATGGCCTGCAGCTTGTCTGTGTGGACAGGTTTTAAAATCAATACCTTCTGTCCCACTTGAAAGCTGCAGTCTCTGGCTCCCCTGTCATACCAGCGGCGCTGGCGTTGCTGGTCCGTCTGGAGATTGGTGCGCACGGCCTGGGTTAGGGCTTTCAGGCGGTCCCTGAACTCCAGCACGTAAGGTACAATGGGAGTCCCATCAGCGCTACTCTCTCCAATGCTCTCTAATTAGGTCCAACGGCCCTCTTACCCTTCTCCCAAACAGCAACTCAAACGGGGAAAATCCCAATCGACTCCTGGGGTACCTCTCTATAAGCAAACAGCAGATGAGGGAGAAATCGCTCCCAGTCCTTATGGGCCTCTTCAAACGTACGGAGCATCTGCTTCAGAGTACCATTAAATCTTTTGCATAAGCCGTTGGACTGGGGGTGATATGCGGAGTTTACTATCGACTTAATGCCACATATCCTCCACAGTTGCTGGGTGACCTCGGCGGTGAACTGGGTACCCCTATAAGATATTATCTCCTGGGGAAACCCTACCCGGGAAAAGACCTTCATTAAAGCCTCGGCCACCGTTTCTGCATGAATATTAGACAGGGCGATGGCCTCGGGGTACCGGGTGGCGTAGTCCACTATGGTCAGGATATACCTCTTACTGGAGTGACTAGGCTTAGGTAAGGGTCCCACTATGTCAACTGCCACTCTGCTAAATGGCTCTTCAAAAATAGGCAGGGGCATAATTTCGCTTTGTGGCGGTCACCCCTCTTCCCCACTCGCTGGCAAATGTCACAGGAGGTGCAGTAATGCCTCACATCTTTGGAAATCCCGGGCCAGAAAAAGGCGTGGGTCAGCCGGTAGCGGGTACGGGTCATTCCAAATGCCCAGACAAGGGAATATCGTGCGCAATCCTAATCAGTTCCTGCCTGTACTTTTGGGGGACCACTAACTGTTTAGTGGTTACGGGGACTGACCCCCCTATTACTGTTTCTGCTACACGATACAGTAGCCCTTTCTCCCAGGTATACCACTCCCCCTCTAACCCTGCCTGATCTGTGCTCACCCTGTCTCGGTAGACCTGCAACGTGGGGTCTGACCTAACCTCTGCCTCAAATGTAGTCAGGGTGTCCCAGGTCATATGTGTCATAGGAGTGTCATGGTCTCTTACCTGAGCCTCAGAGTGGGTTGGTGGAACCGTGGTGCGAGCCTGCTGCCGGGTGGTCACAGGATGAGCTTCCTGAAGTGGGGCCTGTGGTATAAATGCAGAGGTCATCCGGCCCAAGTCATTTCCCAGTACCACCTCTGCTGGCCACTTCTACTACCCCCTCCCCAGCACCCCAGTTCAAATGTACCTTTGCAGTGGGCAGGCGGTACATGGCTCCCCCTGCCACTCGTACTGCCACACATCCGCCAGTGTGAGCTGTATCTGGAACCAAATGAGGTGCTACCAAAGTTAATGTGGCTCCTGAATCCCAGAGTCCCTGCACCTCTTTTCCCTCCACGGTCACTAGTTGGCGATGATGTTGCCGGTTGTCAGTGGCTTGTACGGACATCACCTCGTGCAGTATTCCCAGGGGTTCCTCTGCCTGAATGCCCAGCAGCTCCTGGGTGTCTGGTTCTACTTGGTAGTGATGGGCAGCGGCCCTAGGTGCAGGGTTCTGCCGTACCGATTGACGGGCCTGTGGTGCCTCCTTGCATCGAAGTGTTGATGTAGCGGAGATACAATATTCCACAGATTATCTCCGCTTAAGATCCCAGTGAGGCTCAGGAACAAGTAATTATAAATCCACAGGCAAGGTTTCCAGCAGGTAAAATAATCCAACAGTATCCCAACAGCAATCCCAATAACTGGACGACACACAGCATCAGGAGCAGAACTGAAAACCTTTATTCCACAGTGGCCTTATATAGCATGCTCCCATGCAATGGAGGGACTTTCATCAATTAGTACACTACCCAATCCGACAATAGTAACCTCCCACCCATCTCCTCCCCTCAGCCTGACTCATAATCCCCTTATTCTGTACACAAATTCCCCCAGTTTCTGGATGTACCCCTAAACCTAGGGGTACCCCTTTAAATGGCACATCCCCTGGTAGCCCTGATCTGGGTGAGCAACATATCCAAAAATCACCCAGATCGGACCAGGGGTTCGGGAAATTTATGGAAGTACTAAAAAGACCGACCGCGCTGGAGAGAACAGCCGAATTGGGTTCCATGCGATGGGGCCCTGCGGTTGGTCCCAGTATAAGGGAATAAATTACACGAAAGGCTAAGGCTACAGAGATCAGGTAGGGTTCGCATGAATCCCCTCGTTCGGTAGACAGAAACGTTTGGTAGTTTGGAACCGAACGGACCGGGCTTGTGGAGGTCTCAGCGGTGTTCGCCTAGTCGAGTGTCCGATTTGAGTTCCAGACACTCGACGGCAAAACGCCGCTGTTCGGGAGTTTTAAAATGGCCGCCACCACGTGTTCGTTTTTCGAATGGCGGCTACCCTGCGAACAAAGGACCTACTGCATAGCTTGTCAATTACCTGTTCGCAACATTGTTGCAACGGGTAATTGAAGGCACACTTCACACAGGGGAGGTCTGATTGTTCGGTAGTTTCATTCCCTTAGTTTATTCGAATGATTCTACCGAACAATCAGACGAATACACTTTATTTCAACACATACAAAACCAGCAGTTTACACAAATGCAGTTAAACACATGTAATTTTCAGGACAGCCCAGTGCCATCCGCTACAGTTGATCTGCCAATCGGGCTGCTTCAGTTAGGGTGAGAGGTTTGCGGTCTCTCACCCATTCTTGGGCTTCTGGGGATAAACCATTAAAAAATTGCTCCAACAACATTAACTGTCGCAACTCCTCCATGGTGGTGGCTTGTGGTGGCCTGTATCCACCCCTGAGATGCTTGGTCTAGCTTCTGCTGCCCGACCGGCCAGTTTGCCTGCCAGCAACGGCACCCATACTGCTTGTTCTAGGTCATGTAGGTCACATAGCCTTTCAAAATCTTGTAAATACCCATCAATCTCATCCTTCTCCTCGCAAAACATTTTGAAGGCATGATAAGGGATTTAGGGTTTTACCTGTCCGTAGATGGAGGCAGTGATGGATTCTGCCCTGGACAGTGTCTCCTGTGGACGGTGTGCCATCACGTACTCCTGCACATCCGCCATCAGTACCGTCAATATTTCCAGGGGTACTGGCTGCGGCGGAAACTCCATCCGGGTTCGCATCTCTCTTTGGTATGGGGTTTCCTCCATGGCTGGTGGGGGTGTGCTGTTGTGAGCTCTGTCTCCCTCCATCAGTTCGGTGATCAGCACGGCTTTCGGCTTGTTGCTGGCTATCTTTCCTCTGGCTTCCAGCAGTTCTTTCAGTGTCTGCCTTTCCAGTGCCGTGTAATTCGTCCACATTCACTTTTCTCTTTCGGTTGTTTGCTGCATACGAATTGCCATTCCCTTTTCTCGTTCGGTAGTTTCTCTTTATCTGAACGGCGCTTTTCGGCTGTAAGGTTGGATCCCGTCGCTTGCCACCAATTGTAGCGGAGCGGCAATATTAAATCCCACGAACTCCGCTGGTAAAGAAGGTAATCCACAGTCAAGCGCTGAAAAGTAAGGCAATATCCCAAATCCCCCAGTAACCGGACGAAACTAAGTTCTGGGAGTCAACTGAGGTCTTTATTCACATGCCCCAGTATTTATACAATTCCCCATGCAAGGGGTTTCCTGAGTCACATCACAGGGGTATTACAGGAGTGGACTATATGGGAAACTTAAATCACAGAGCATTTCTCCCATCAGGCACTGCTGCACGAGAGGGATACTCCCATTGGAATGTACCGTTAAGTGGATTATCCCTCCGTGCAGCAGAACCGACAATTCACATTAAAATCTATAACTTTAATAATACTTGGCAGATTTAAACAAATGGACGTTCGGTAGATAGCTGGGGTCTGAGCGCACAGTTCGTGAGACTACCGCTCAGATCCCAGCTAAAACAACCAAACGCCGCACAAAATACACTTTGCCATAGAGTTTGCCCCAAAATACCAAACACCGATGGGGAACCCTAATGGTGAAAGACCGGAGCTCCCGAACGGCCTGGAAGCCCAGCGGTGTTCGCCTCGTCGAGTAGCCATTTTCAGTTCCACACACTCGACGACCAAACACCGCTGGGGAGACAAAGGATCCAAGATGGCCGACCGCCACGTGGTCGGTAGCCGAACGACGGCCACCTAGGAAAGCCTCTAATTACCGATTGCAACATAACGTTAACGAGCGCCACACGTCCCTCTCTGTGTGGGCTATTAGGGGGTAGCTCATTCGGTTCACGATCAGCCCGCAATGGTGCTGTTCGTGAAACGAAACACATGAATGCTAGCAGCTTTCGGCAGCTAGCATACGAATGCAATACAACATACAATAATACACAGGATACAGCCAGGGAATACAAAAATTCACCAGAATAATACAGGCAAAAAGAGACTTCCAGGAATTTCCCGAACCCCTGCTTTGATCTGGGTGATTTTTGGATATGTTGTGCACCCAGATCACGGCTATCAGGGATATCTACCCTGGGTATTGGTATATCACTATACTCCCCTGGGATTATAATCACTAGCTCGTTTAAGAGCTGTTCCTGCTATGCTCTCTGGAGTAGGAGAGGTTCACCCACGGGAAGCTGGATCATGGTCTTGGGTCCAGGGTGGGTGGAGGACGACGAGTTCCCAGCCAAACTGGTACGCTGGACGTGGGGACTACAGTGCTGATGGTGTCTGGTGGAGTGCTTGGAGCCCTCAGTAAGCACTAGGAGCATCGACTGATGGAGGCACCCGGTCGGGTGGTCCATTTCACATTTCTACGTGGGCTCAACTTCTGTTTGACCCACATGAATGGGACAATATCTGGTTATCTAGCCCACTATTATTCTTTGCTGCGATCTTACAATATTACACTCGTTACTTTGAAGTCTTAGTTGAACTGAATTTAAATATCTGTAGAGCCCCATTTTCATGCTACAAACTAAAACATTTAGACAGTTTGAGAATCATAGTGATTTTTATCTACATAGTATCTTTGTTGTTTCTTTAATAACCCGCTTCTCTGGGGAGAAAGGAAAAATATACTAAAGTTGTATAGTAAGTGCATCTTTGAATTCACACATGCCTTTACTTTACTGCTGGTGTCTCCCTCAGCCCTTTTTCCTACTTTTGGAGTTCCAATCAGAATATGAGGTCAACGTTTTCAAAGCCCTGATCTGAGAGCTGCACAGATTTAGGTGGACCTTTACCGCTATTGAGTCCTTTATGCTGGGTTCTGGTGCATCTCCTTCTGGTCATCTTCAGCAAAGGTGACGCAAGTGAGCGAAAGGTTAATTTCATAAAAAGAAAAGTCACGCACTGATTTTTATTCAAACTGGCTTCTATGTGAAACAGACTGTTACACCCCTAACGGCTGCATTTAAATAGAAATATGATTTTATACAAATGTTCACGCTAGATTTAAATAGGGATCCGACCCCCTGATGTTACAAATGCTGTGTTCTGCTGCTTAGCACTGGGTACAGGCGATAGATACATATTTACAGGAATTTGTTCCTGAGCAGCTATTTATATCTTGGCTAAAAATACATCGTATGCCTCAATTTGTGTTACAGGGATGAGTTATATCAGCTTATTGCAAGTCTCAGATCTGTTTCTATTTTAACAAGTCCAAACACGCCAGTTCTGTTCTGCAAAGAGGATGATTCAGGCTGGTTTTTCTTGAGATTTTCAATCTTGTTATATAAAGTTGTTGACACGTAATCAATTCACTGTACTTAACATGTACCATAGTCTTTGTGTCATGCTTGTGGACCAGCAATTGTTCAGATAGCGCCACGTCCTTTCTTTCAATAAAGGTCATTCGTGGTACCATAGGTTTAGTAGAAGATTTACGTACAGGCAGAGTACCTACCTCTTTGCACTGACTTACAAATTTACCCTGTTCAACTACTAGGTTGTCCATCCAAGCCACTGGTTTCTTTGCAGTGCTGAGGATCTGCCAGTGCATGTGGCACCCAAAACACTGATATCTTACCATGTCATGGGACTCGAAGATGGAAATACGGTAAGACGTTTCGACCACGGTTTTCAAACAATGTACGTATATCGTATTTATGACCTTGTCCCCTGCCTTCTTGTGCCACCTCATAACTAAATAATGTTATACAAGAATACATGGGTGGCATTTATGTGGAATACCAGAATACACGAGTGGCATTTATGTAGAAAGTCATGTTTGGCCCTTAAATGCTAGTTATGCAGACCAGACATAACTGAAGAAAAAGCTTTGTTCAAGAGACCTAGAAATCATTTTGAAAACAGTGAGCCCCAGTGGTAAAAATTAGACAAAGGCCACAAGTGTATTTTGTACAAGTTTGGTCAGTAGGGTTCCACCAGTGGAATGTCTAACGAATGTCACAACCATCTATGTTATAAAATATAAATGTGCATCTAGGCAGTGCTGGGGGTATTTCAGAGGTTTGATAGGTTTGAACATCTCAATGCCACATAGCATGGAAGTTACAGTAACTATATATATTGCTATATATTATATATTTATATTTATATTGTGGCAGCACAACAAAGGGTGTTCAGCCTCTCTTCATTGGGAAGCTTCAGTATACGGCCATGTGCAAAGGTGTCCCCCTGAAGATACCACTTCAGTGACCAGGGGTTTTCTTGCTGTGACCCTAGGGGTAGCAAGATTATGCTCTCACCCTTTTTCCTGCAGTGACCCAAGGGGTAGCAGGCTGGGCATGCACATACAGAACATATGTATTTTAAGGATTAGTGTGACATTGACTAACATTCCAACCCTGAAAGAGTTAATGTGAGGCTGACCAGCATTCCATCACTGAAAGGGTCAATGTACTACTCTGCTATATTTTACTTTCCCATAGATTTACTTGCAGTGACCCAAGGGGTAACAGGCTGGGCATGCACATACAGAGCATATGTATGGTAATAACTCCTTCTACCCCTCATTGGTTTCATCTGAAGGGTAAGCGTTTCTTTCTGATTTTAAAATTGGATAATGTCTATAGATTTGCAGGATGACTTTTTCCATGTACCCATTGCCCTACATCACAAGATGTTTCTCAGATTGCAGTGGAAGAACACAAATTTTTATATCTTCGTGGTGAAAGATAGATATCTGCTGAAATCACATTGCTCCCTTCAGGGTATAGCTGGGAACACGGTTCGCCACAGCCCAAGGCACAGTACAGCTCTCTGCAGAAAGTTCAGTAAGACTTATCAAGTAAGTAAAGGATGTTGGCTGTCCTATTACCTCAGCAGAGAGAGCTTTGATCCAGGTCCTCCACTATAGTTCGAATAAGATGAGCACAAGGGAAAAGGTTAACTTTTCTATAGAAATGGCTTGGACAGTGAAAACTATGAATACTCTCTACTGGGGTTGAGGAACTTTTGAACGCTTTCATAAAAGGAACATCTTTAACATCCAACACCTCTCTTCTGCGTAGGTTGCAAGGGCCAATATCAATTATCCTGAAAGTTCAATATTGGTACCCAGTTCATGGTTTCCACTTCTGCTTATCTTCTTCATGGGATCTCCCAAAATAGTTTTTCCCTCCTCATCAGGTCCAGTGCTACTTTCCTCATTCTGAAGTTTTAGAAATTGAAAAGAAAGGCTTAAATATAAGGGTAAATTGGCTGCAGTAATTAATACTATTCTGAAGGCCAGGGAAAAGTACATCCTTGTGATGAGACCAATCTCGCCACTGTGCATTGGAGGAGCCTGGTTGCCCGTCTGCTGCCTTTAGACTATGGCCCCATGTTGAAACGCTTGACTTTCCCCTGCGAAGACATGAAAGCCCGGTCATTCGGTGCTTGCCCTGTTTGAGCGGTGATACCCCAGATAGCTATGCCATGGAGCCCATTTGTATAATGAAATACTATGGGAAAGACTTTGGCTCCATGGCAATTGAACTGTATGTGTGTGCTCTGAGCGCCATTCAGTAATAATGTGCGCTCAGATCTGAGCTATCTGGGGATATGTTGAATGTACCTGTTTTGTGCAATGGCTGCACAGTTATATGTTTTTATGTGTTTTATTGTCTTTTGCTGCCATGTGTTCAGTGGAGTTTTGCCTCTGTCCTTGGAGATAATTGGATTACTTCCCAATTATCTCCAGGATAGAAGACTCTGTGGAACTGATTTTGGGCAGAAAAGCCATGCTTCCTTTGGTCATAAAGGACTACAATCTATCTTTTGAACCACTGGACCAATTTGGATTATTTTGACAAATGTTTGTATTTGAAGTATGCTGATTCTGAAAATGTAAATGTGATGCATGAATAATGTGGAAAAATTGTATTTCTCTGCTTGTGATAATTACATTACCCATTGTGTAAGGTAATTGTATCACAGGCAGAGGGGAGGATTTTGTGTGGGAGTGTCTGAGTGTATTGTATGTGTTTATTGGTTGTGTTCCAAAACCCTGTGGGTGGTACTAATGTGTAAGAATTTGTATATAAGAACAATAAACCCACAGCTCTGTCTGTTCACTGCTTGACCATCAACACGGAGCTTTGTCTCGTTCTTGGGGGGGATTTATTGTATGCTGTTCCAGTTCGATTGCTAGGAGTGTAAACCTTTCGTATGGTTTGTCCTATTCGGCTGTTTACAGCATTCGTATGGTTCCGGTTCGGCTGTTTACAGCATTCACATGCTTTTCCTGTTCGGCGGATTGGTGTTCTGCAGTAGCTGTGCCTGTGTCTCTGGAAGGGAAGATCTACTAAACGGCGGTTTAACCCTTTTATGCCCTGGGGTGCCGTTACAATCCTTAACTTCCTTTACAGAGTTGGGATGCCTTTCTTCCTGGTCTATTTCTAATTAGGTGATCATTAAAATTCCTTCTACCAAGGAGGTTCTAGAGTTCTTCAATCCAGGACTCATCTAGGATATCACTGCAGAAGTACATGTCTCAGCACTCTCTGATCTCACTTTTCATAAAGGGGCTTTGATATGGAGGTGTCTAAATATCTGTCGGCTGTATTTATATGATCCCTCAGTAACCATTTTTTACCCTTTGGATTCTTCCCTGGTTCTGAAATCTTCACCCCTTTTAACCATGAGACTCTATCTCTCCACAATTGCTTAATATTAAGTTAGCTCTATCGGTGACATTAGAAACAGGCAGAAGGATATCAGATATTCAAGCACTATTTTCACAATAAAGAATAATCCTCAAATCTGTTCTTGAATTTAGGCAATTTTAGTCATAAAGTGACTTTTTCTCTCCGTATTAATGAACAAATAATTATTTCAGCTCTAAAAGCCTGTTGATTGGAATAAATACCCAGAAATGAAACTTTCTCCTCTTGTCCTAGATAAGTGTCTTAGGATCTAATTCTATAGATCGGCTATCTAGCATTCTTCTTCATTATCTTTCTTAATGGACCAAGAGAGGTCTTCATGCCTCTATACAAGCCATCAGCAGATGGATAGTCTTGGCTATTTTCAGGCTACTAAACCCTAGGGGTTACTTTTTCATATACTTATAAGGTGTGTGTGTGTGTGTTGTCACTTACATTCATATTTTGGAAGTCTTGTGTACTTCTTTACCTCCCTTGGCTTGGGTATTACCCATTGTTGTGCTGCCATTAATATGGCCAAGAAAAAGTAAAATGTATTCCTACTTCCTAACATTTTCTTTTCCTGGTCATAGGCCATGGCAGCACAAATATCCCGCCCTGAGATATTGCTGGAAACAAGACTGAGGGTAGGAGGCGTTATTTATACTTTTTGTTTTAATTATGTTCCTGTTTAATTAGGGATAAGGAGGAGCTACCCATTGTTGTTCTGCCATGACCAGGAAAAGACAATTACGGTAAGTATCAATACAATTTCTTTTATTTTGTTATTCTAAAGGTCAGTTACATGGACCACACATTGTATCTTCTGTGGTAGCTTTTACATTTTGATAAATTTAAAAGCCTTAAAAAAAAAAAATTCAAAAAATATGTAACAATTTTTAAACATTTGAGTATCAGCATCTCTCAACAAGACTAACGGCCAAACGCTGCAAAGGAATGATTTCTAAAAAGATTTTAAAAAAAAAGTCTCATATTCTGTAAAAAGAGAACGAACGTACAGCATGAAAAGTTGGTTGAGAGAAAAAAATATATTTTTTTCCCTCTGCCAGTGATATTCCGTGTCTGACAGCAATTTAGTCAATGACTCTCGATGATGTCACTGGCAGTAATACGCATTTCAAGAGCCATTGAAAGATCATCATAGCAAAGGGATAAGTAGTAAGCATCTCTTCATTATTATGACTAGCAGATCAATTCCACCCCCCCCAACAGCCAGCCAAGGTGCAACAGAAATAGTTTAAGGAGCTTGTGTTTTACTGTCAAATTCAGATTTAAAAAAAACAAAAAAAACATTCTTTACTGAAGAATTTTAGACAATTTACGCATTTTAAAGATAGCTGTGAAACACAAGCAATATGGATGTAGCAGAGGTAGGCACCGCACCTTAACAAAATTAGGGTTTGTAACAGAATTTAACAGGGATAGGTACACAAACACTATTTGGGATGAATGGGAATAACAGTGGGTTTTGATTGATCCCAATTATCAAAGTCTAAAAAAATAATCCAGAAATCTGTCTGGTTACCCCGTACCTTGTCAGGGTCAATCAAATGAAACTCTCCTTGGTGGGATATTCTTCAAATGTTGATTTTTATAACACTGCAAAATAGGGTAAACCAAGCCATATCTAGAATGTGACAATAATCAAATAATTATTAACATACAAAGATATCTAGATCGTAATCTAGGCACTAGACATTATCTTAAATTGTATCTTAATCAAATAAGATTTAAGGGGTGACGTGATGCTAGTTATTCTTTATGTTATGGACTTTTTAAAAAAAAACTTTTGCGTGTTACTATGTTGTTTTTTCAGTAACCCTGAGTTCTTGAGAATTGACAGGGCAATTGTTAATTTAAAGGGTTACTTCACCATCGTAACCACTACACCCAGCTATAGTGGTTATGATTGTAGGAGTACCCTGGCGCAGTTCCCCATTAATAGAGCAACGCTTTTTACAATGGTTTGTCCTCTCATATGGCATTGCCGGGCACCGAAAGCCCCATAATGGTGACTGAACCTCATTCTGGCTTCTGCATTCATTAGCTGAGAGTGCCAGCTGGTTGCTAACAGTCAATAATTGGATTGGACATCTGTGTGTAGAAATATGACGCCTCAATGATGCCGCTGGAGTTACATCTCTGGCAGCAAAGGGGTTAAACTCTGTACATGTAGGGATCCATGAAAAACATTGCACATACAGTCTCCAGGCACCATGACCACTTCAAATCTTTGAAGTAGGGTTGGTGCTTGAAACAATCGTTTAAGGCCAAACAGACAAATTGGGAATATTTTGTGCTAAAAGACACAAATATTCAATTCTCCCCAAAAACAGCTATATCACTAGAAACTTAAAATTGTTGCACATTAAAAATCAAATTGCAAAATGTTCAGTTCAGTAGGAATTTTTTTCCATTGTTTGTAAAATTTTGCAATCTGGTTTTCAATTCATTACAATTCACCGTTTAGTAAATAAAGTCCACTGCACTTTCATTAAAAGGCAAATTGTAGTAGAGAAAGACGAGATAAATGAATTTGAGATTGCGTGAAGTCTGCTGCAGACTCAATTTAACAAATAGTTTTTTTAACAAAACCCTGTGGGGTTTTTTTTTTGTTCTATACAGAATTTCACAAAAATCTGATTTAATTGATTATGCTATACAATAACAAAACTCTATTTTCTATAAATATCTGATTTAATTTTGGAACAGCAAATGATTGGATTGGAGAAATCCAAACAGGATATATTTTAACATATCAATCGTATCATATTTACAAATTAATATGCACTAAATATTTTTTTGTGGGGGGGGGGGACTTTTTTTTTTTTTTCTGGAGACAAGCAGCTTTATTCTTCCTAATTCTCAGGTCTGTATATCAATAGCTTGTTCTCAGATGCTGGTTCTTTATACCTGATTTAGCTACATCAATTGACGCAATGCCGAAATGCCACTTAGAAATAGAAAGTACAAGAGATAGGGGAGCAGGAATTACACAATGCAGGAAAAAAATAATATATATATATATTTCTTCATTATTTTAAGCCCGACACATCAGCAGGACCATCAAGGATACAGAAAGGGCTATGGATTGTGAAATGTAGAAAACAGGTGCAGAAATACAATTAGCCAGCCCGTTACCATGGCAACGACAGCGTGAAGGTACAGCGGATAGCTAGGGGTTAAGAGCAGGCACTGAGAGTATGTGTGAAGACGATGATGCTTATAAAAAAAACACCTTACTGCTTGGGAGTGCAGGCAACTCACATTTTAATGTCTCCTTCAAAAATGTTGAGAATAGGATAAAAGGTCATGTCTTCCTTTATACTTATTTCTTTGTGTAACATATATTTAGGCAAGAGGTGGTGCATTTGAATGGTTAAATAAATTAATATGTATAGAGTGCAAGCTTCTCAGGCTAGTGAGATCATTTTTTTTAGACCGATTACTTACAATTTTGGCATTCTGTTTTCATAGGTTTTTTTTTTACATTTGGTAATTTTTGTCAAACCTGTATTAAAGAAACACACCATGCACTATAGTAGTTATGGTGCTAGGACAGCTCCCCCCCTTCCGCCCCATTGTAAGCTTAAAGAAACCCTAGCATTAGCTTCCGTATCTCAATACAGGAAGTGTAAAGTCAGGGACCGGCGCCTGGTGGACCCTAGATTATAAATTATAACGTAAGCAAACCGTTTAACTGCTTAAATTTGAATGGGGGTGCCAGGGCATGTCTGGCACCATAACCACTACAGTGCACTGTAGTGGTTATGGTGCTTGGAGTGTTCTTTTAAGTGGTTCTATAAATAAACCACAGAGATCCATAGAGGCTGTAGACCCGAAGAATGGATTTGGTTCTGTGGCCAAGTGGTGTAAATGACTTTCACCATGTACTGTGATTCTAAGCCAAGAACTAATTATTTTTAATGTTGTTATTATTATCACTAGCTTTTATAGAGTGCCAACATATTTCACAGCGCTTTACTGTGCGATATAAAACGGCAAGTGGTCCAGAGACAAATTAATGTTGACAGACAGATAAAAGAGGAGAAGAGAGCCATGTTTAAACAAGCTTACTATCTAGGAATGAATATATATATATATATATATATATATATATATATACACACACACATTTCAAATTAAAAGAACAGTCCACACCATAATCACTGTAGCCTGCTGTAGTGGTTATGGTGCCAGGAGTACCTGGGTGCCCTCCCAAGGTAAGTAGTCAAATCGTATGACCGCTTACCTGGGGTCCTTTGGGTGACAGTCTCAGCCTCCTGCTGAGATAAAGCATTGGCTGAGATCATCAACTGCGTGCTTTCATCTAATGAGCTAAGCCTTGCAGTGGGCTACAGTGCTTGAAATGTTCCCTTAAAGGGAACCCAGAACTTCCAGGGATTCTAGTACTTCTCTTCAGTATTTAGCAAATCTAAGTTTGTGAAGTCTAAAAACTATAACTAAACGTAAAAATCCACACAACTGTGTTCAAATCTGTCCGAGAATGGAGTTCCTCCATCTTGGCTTCCTTTCATTCATTGTTATAGCTCTACCTGGCAGTCAGCACAGAGAGCATTTAAAGGAGAAGTAGAAACAATGTATCTACTTATTCCCCTTGATTGCAATGTGTGCCATGGTTGTGCCAGGATTAAACGCTCTGCAATTTATGTTTACCATCTTCAGTATTATGTATCCCGATGCAATTTTATCTAACTGGTCCACCTGATCATTTCCAATTTGTCTTAATCCTCCCACCCCTCTCCATTTCATTCCCCTTTCTATATTGATTTCCTTTTAACCTTTCCGTTTAACTTCCACTTCTTATAGCGGTCCATGTGACTCCTCCCATCCTCGATTTCCTTGGCTTTATATTCAACTATAGATGAATCAGAATAATATTAATATGTACCATTTTTGCAAAAGTAAGGACAAATCTTCACTTATACATGACTAACAAGTGTTCAAAATAATATTTTAATCATAAATTATTTTTTTTACCTTAATGTATTATTGTATAGAACACCATACAGTAATATATTAAGTTACTGAACTCTAGTGCAAATTTTCTACATTTTTGGCCAAAAATTTTAAATTTACTTAAAATTCCTGACAGTTCACACCTTAGTGAATCACCCGGCTGGCTAATGTTTGGCTTCCATGCATATTTGTAGCCTTTTGCTAAATAATCAGGAGCTGAATTTGAGAATTGCTTGTACCCACCCCCACACACACACTTAGGGATTCCATAAACATAAAGTCAGCCTTGGTCCGTATCCATAACCTCCCCCCCCCCTCCATTGTACCAGGCCTATATTGCCATCTTGGCACATGTCAGCTGAAGACTAGGCTGCAAGCTCTTCAAAACAGAAGATGCCTTTTGTGGAAATGGGCTTATCCGACACCAAACTGACAGCATGCCTGTTTCTTGTTTCTCTGATCACCGGTCCGCTAGTGCCCTCCATCTCATCCCATTTATTTTCCTTTTTTTAAATTAAATTATCACAGAAATCAGCTTTGTGTCTTAATCATATAACACGCAGGTAATTAATATACCAGTTTACAGAATATAATGTCTGTGCTATACCTTCAAGACACATCCAAGATAAATCAGGCGTTTTTAAAAATGCTAAAGTCTTCAAAAGCGAACACAAGGTACCATCACTGGGGAAAAAGTAAACAAACAAAGGGCTTATTTACTAAATCGTAAAGTCCATGGAATCGCTCAGGGAATTGCAAATTTAAGGTCAAAATAAATAAATTGGAGGGGGAAATTAATCTAATTCCTTTATTTTTCCAGCTTGCTTTTTTTATTTATTTTTTTTGACCGACAAAATTGCAATTCCCTCGATGATTCTCATCTGTTCCGGATTGAGCCAATTACCCCTTTAATATATTTTAAAACATCTTGGCTGAACAAGAGATAGAATTCAATCTGCTGTCTTTATTGTTTCTCTGGTGGTAGGAAAGCTAAGTGTTAACATGCAGATGGAGGCCAGCAATGAGCATGCCGTATAGCAAGCGCAGTAGGGTTGGTGGAAAAGCAGCCCTGGACTGTGTGTATTGCTGCAGTCTTATGTCTCAGTGTATTTTAATGGAATATCTCTTGCTCTATGGGAAAGGAGCTAAAAATAGCCCATGTGAGTCTCTCGGGGGCTTTTCATTCTGTGACAGTGAATTGCTGGATCCACACTGTATGCAGAGAGCTTCAACAGGGGGGAATAAAAGCATATATTCCCAATGACACCTTCATTTATTCCTGCATTATTTCAGATTATATTTAAAATGACATTTCCCCCAAATTAAATTTAAAAAAAAAGAGCAAGCCTTTTTTTTATTTTATTTTCGTTTTTTTTTTTTACATTTTATTTTATATTTATTATCATATTTTTTGTTTTTGTTTTTTCTGATACCCATCCCCCTTCGGCTCTACAAAGAAATATATATTTTTCCTTCTTCTTTTTGCTTTTCCCCCCCACCCCCCCACAATTTTTTTCTAGACATGAATTTACAGTGGGGATGTTCAGGGATCTGTGGAGGTAGAGGAGTCGGTGTGTTAAATGAAGAGGCATCTTCACCAAGATTACAGCGAGACGCCTTCCAGGTGAGACCAACAGCCCCATCACCCTGTAACATAACCAGGGGGGTCCCAGCATGGATATATGTGCCAGGAGCGAGGAGGGGGATCAGGATCTGCCGATACATAGTGCTTACAAAAACATTGATTAAATATATTTATGAATAATTGTGTGTCTATATGTTTGTATATGTGTGTGTGTGTGTTGTAAAATATTTATATATTGCATGACAATTCATGACACCAATCACACGAAAGTGCCACACATTACAACACAACCAATTGTAGTCAATTATATTGTATTGTGTTTGTTTTTAAAATTTTTGCTCTTTATAGTAATGGTTTAATATGATGGCTATTTTTACACTGCTTGATATAATTAGCCTTTTTCCCTGCACTTCTAAAATATCCAGTGGAAATATATATATCCATATTTGTATTTATAGGTTATATATATTGATGATTTTATTTATAACGCTCCAACGTATAGATATAATGTATTTCTCTATTTATATCTGAGCTCTATCTTTCCTATCATATGTGTTTTCTGCCTCTGATGACCTAAGAAGTGATTTAGTAAATTCTACCAAAAACACGGTTGTTTTGGCCAGGAGTCGTTCTGTAGGGATTAGAATAGAGATGGGTAGGAGACAAATATGGAATCGTATGGGGGTTGGGGGGGACAGAGCGACCATAAGAAATGGCTCCACCCCTTTTATTTTTAGAATCAGAAAAAAAAGGGTGTTTCATAATTTGCACAAAATGGATTAATACGTGGGTCTGTGTCAGCCTCATGCTAAGCAATAAGGCACATACAAGTTTACTACAATGCAAACGAGCACTGGCGGTGTAGATCCCCGGTCTGTAATAAACTATTTCACTCTGCGCTTCTTCAGCTAAAAATATCGTTTAATATGATCCTGCTGTCATGACATCCATGCTTTTTTGGGGTATTGTAGGTCATATTAGAACATATAGAATGATAACTGATGGGAAACGTACACAATCAAACCAATTTAAAGGGCTTAGCCAATCTTCACTTGCTACTGGACTGTGACTCCCATCAATCTATGAGTTGCTAGTGCTATAGTTCAAGGGACGTTGGAAGATTTGCAGATCGAGAAACCAGGTAACTCCCATCAGGCTTATCCATTTGGGAGGAGCAGTCCACATTGCTGTTGAGGGGCATCCTACCCCATAAACCTAACCTTGCCATATAAAGTAGATAAGGATAGTCATTATTAATATCAAATGTATCCAATAAACAGCCGAAACTCTCCGATGGGGCTTTGGTATGAAAATAGTGGGATGTCAAAGCACTGATTGCGGAATGGACACGCCTTCTCGAGACTCCTAATTACACACACAAGCAAATTAATCCTGTGCCTGAACACCTTTTTATATCCATCTCATTGGATACGAAAGACGCAAAACATATTGTGGAGAAATAGAGAGCTGGTCCTTCGGGATTAAAAGAGCGAATGATAAAAAAAAAAACCTTGGTAGAGAAGTGAAAAACCCCCTTGAGAACGCAAGCCCAGATAGCAAAATTTTCAATTACACATTTGTGTTTTTCTTTTAATATACAGAATGTCTAATAAGACTTGTTTTTTCCACTCTTGTTAGCTGTAGATTCGGTCCTTGTCTCTCACTGTTCTGTCGCTTGCAATCTGTAAAAGTAAGGGGGGAAATAGCATTTGCATAGCACAGTGGCAATAAGAAATCATTTGAATTGGTAATAGGATGGCATCTTTGAACCAATACTCCTATTCTATGTGAGCAGTCACAATATCAAACCACCACTTTGCTTAGTGAGAAGCGGCCCTCAATTGAGCACGAAGTATTTAATCATAGAAGCAGGTGTACATCGAACATAATAACTAGTTAATCAGAGGAAAGGTACTCAGTTGAACATTCTGACTAGTTAAACAGAGAGATGGCCCTTGGTTGAACATAATAACTAGTTAATAAAATAAGCAGCTCTCGATTGAACATAACTAGCTAATAAATGAAGTGGCTCTCAACTGAATGTGATAACTAGTTGTTCATCGAGAAGTGATTCTTGTTTGAACATGTCAACTATTTAATCAAAGAAACATCTCATAATTGAACATGACAACTAGTTAATCAAATAAACATGATAACTAGTTAAAGAGTTACTCAGAGCACGCTGTAAGTGGTTTTTATGGCATGAGAGCTCTGGTGCCGTTCCTCAATAAGGGGACAAACCATTTTGTCTCTTACCTGGGTTCCATTAAGCACCAAATCTTCTCTAATGCTGGTTGAACCAGCAGACAACTATTCAATAGCTGAGGCGGGTATTAGCTGACCGCTCTTGTCCAATGAATGAATCTCTCTCCAAGGATTATGCACAGAATTAATATTAGCTTGCCCGCAGCTCTCGTTGTGGCCTAATTCATTACGCTGCCAAAGGCAAAGGTTCCATTTGATATAAAATGTCCAAGTATGTGCAGCAATTCATAACAAAACGTACATACATAGTTCTTGCACAATGACACTTCAAAACACTGAAGTGGTTATAGTGCTGGGAGTAAATAGTTAATCTTATCTGAATGTGATAACTAGTTAATTAGCTTAGCTGCTCTGTATTGAAAGTGATAACTAGTTGATCTGAGAAGTGACTCTAGACTGAATGTGGTTAGAGAATTGGCTCTCGGTTGAACATGATAATTAGGAAATGAGAAAAGAGGCTCTTGAATGAACGCAGCGCCTAGTTAATCAGGGAAGAGGCTGTAAAATTTCAAGCTTCCCCATTTTGGTAGAAATTTTTAATTTGGATTTTGATCCAATGATAATTCACTGTTTAGTAAATACACATCTTGTGACTCTTTGTTGCACAGGTGGTGAATGTCTAAGATCACCTGTCTTTGGTGGAAATTAAGTAACAGCCGTCAATGTTCTCAGACAACACTTTCAATTTCTTTAAGCTCTCTCTTCCCTTTATTCTTTGACCAATTATCTTATTTGTTCCCTTATCCACAATTTTCTTCCCCTCCATTAATTCCTGCATCTCAGTCCCGCAATCCATTTTACATAACTCACAACATTTTATATGGACACAAAGGAACACTTTCATTTTAGTGGCTTGCGTCCAGGGGCAGTGCTGTTCTGAGAGGTTATAGCTGACTAACTAATAATTTTTTTAACTAAAATGTAATTTATAGCAAGAACAATGTATCTTATTTACACAGACTGATTTCTAGACACTTTTAGTGTAGTTTAAAGGATCACTTTATAATCCTTAGGTCCCCCCCACCCTCAGGGCCCCCTCCACCCCCCCGGTGCCAACGTCAGCTCAAGAATAGAGTGGAATGCGCAAGCGCGGCAAGAGCTCCGCGCGCATTCAAACATTCCATAGGAAAGCATTACCCATCCAGTGTCGCAGAAACGCCTCTAGCAGCTGTCAGGAAGACGGCCACTAGAGGCTGGATTAACTCTGCAATGTAAACATAGCAGTTTCTCGGAAACTGCTATGTTTACATCTGAAGGGTTAAAACCTGGGGGACCTGGCACCCAGACCACTTAATTGAGCTAAAGTGGTCTGGGTGACTATAGTGTCCCTTTAAAGACACATTACTAGTAGTATTATTGCTGGGGAGCTTTGTTATACACCGAGACACATTACTAGGAGTATTATTGCTGTGGAGCTCTGTTATACACTGAGTCACATTCCTGGGAGTATTATTGCTGTGGAGCTCTGTTATACACTGATACACATTCCTGGGAGTATTATTGATGTGGAGCTCTGTTATACACTCAGACACAACAACAATATGGAGCTCTTAGAAAAGAGGGACAGAGGGATTTGGGCCCAAAATAGTGACTGTCCCTCCTAAATAGGGACACTTGGGAGGTATAATATTCACCATTTGACTCATCCTTGGTGTTGTTGGTTAGTGGGTAGTTTCCACATATGTGGCCATCCATGGGATTGCAGAGCCCCTTGTTTGTGCTGTGTGCTTCTAGGTAGCAAACCTCGATATGCTATTACCATCCACGCATGTACTTGTGATTACAGGAGGCCATGAAGAGCCTCTCGCAACATGTTCCTTACATTGATCCTGTGAACAGAGGCTATAGAGAAAAATGTACTTGTGACAAGCAGAGTATTGAGTAGCTGTAATGTAAAGCCTTCTCTATATTTATTTTTGCGTTTAAAGCATGGAAAAGCATTAATATATCATCGAGTCTGGTGCTGATGAAAGTGGTATAGAGCTGGTTTACAAATTTTAATTATATGACCTGGCATATTGCTGTGTACCAAGTTAGCAGGTATTCTCTCCTACAATACGTACACCCTTCTCCTCCACAATATCAACCTCCTTCTCCCCTAAAATATCAGCCCTGTGTCCTGTACATTATCAGCCCCCATCTCCTGTACATTATCAGCCCCACGACCCCCATACAATATTATCTTCCGTCTCCCCTACACTATCAGCCTCCATCTCCTGTTCAGTATCATCCTTTGTCTCCCCTACACTATCAGCCCCCGTGTCCTGTGCATTATCAGTTTTATGTTTCCTGTACAAAATCAGCCTCCTTGTCCCCTACATTATCAACGACATGTCTCCCGTAAAATATCAACCTCCATCTCCCCTTCAGTATCAGCCTCCATCTCCCGTACATTATCAGCCCGTCTCCCGTACAATATCAGCCCTGTTTCCTGTACAATATCAGCCCTATCTCCCGTACAATAACAGCCCTGTCTCCCGTACAATATCAGCCCCGTCTCCCGTACAATGTCAACCCATCTCCCGTACAATATCAGCCCTGTTTCCTGTACAATATCAGCCCTATCTCCCGTACAATAACAGCCCTGTCTCCCGTACAATATCAGCCCCGTCTCCCGTACAATGTCAACCCATCTCCCGTACAATATCAGCCCTGTTTCCTGTACAATATCAGCCCTATCTCCCGTACAATAAGCTCCGTCTCCCGTACAATATCAGCCCTGTCTGCCCTCCGTCTCCCGTACAATATCAGCTCCGTACAATATCCCCTGTCTCCCGTACAATGTCAACCCGTCTCCCGTACAATGTCAACCCGTCTCCCGTACAATATCAGCCGTGTCATCCGTACAGTATCAGCCCTGTCATCCGTACAGTATCAGCCCTGTCTTCCGTACAGTATTAGCCCCCATCTCCCGTACAATATCATCCCCCGTCTCTGTCTCCCCTACAGAATCAGCCCCGTCTCTTGTACAGTATCCACCCCTGTCTCCTGTACAGTATCACCCCCCGTCTCCTGTACAGTATCAGCCCTCGTCTCCCCTACAGTATCAGCCCCCATCTCTTGTACAGTACATATAGTTGTTCTGCCATGATGGAGAGGCCCTGGTCTCCTGTGCACACTCTGCACTTTAGGGCATCACTCCAGATGCAGAACACAACTGCCCTTCCTCCATTATATGACATGACCAAAGCTTGCGTCACATGCGGCTCTAATGGGATGATGCAATTATTTGTACTCATCCTGGACAAATACTTGGACAAGTGAATGGGAAAGTGTCACTTACCCATATGATATAAGTGTGGCATAAAGTGTAGTCTGGGTGTTGGAAAGAGAGAGGCTAAAAAAAACTGCATTTGTTTCCTTTAGATATGATAGCTCTTTACAGATATATACAGGATCAGTACAAAGCTCTATGTGCTAACCGATCATTAACTGGAAAATACAACAGACAAGAGGTCACCCATTTAGACTGGAAGAAAGGCGTTTTCACTTACAGCAGAGGAAAGCGTTCTTCAGAGGAAAGTGTTCAGTAAGAACAATCATTTTTTCCCTTTTTCTGCTATTATTGGCCATTGCTTCAAATTGTTTTTTATTTGCCTTCCTTTGAATCAACTGCATAAAAAGATATGTTTACAAGGTTGAACTTGATGTACTGGGGTCTTTTTTGAACCTAGGTTACTATGTATCTATGTTTCGGGAAGCTGAAGTGGTCCTGGTGATAGGCGTGTCCATTTAAAAATGGCAGTGTGTTGCAGGATATAACAGACACCAAATATGGGATTTTAGGAGATTTTTATTAAGGTAACCCTGCATCACAGAATATTTATTTTGTTACTTGTGGCAGAACATTTTCCTGTGGTCTATGGAGTTAGTTCTGCAAGAAAGGAAATGGAAATTTGTATTTGAGATGATGTTAACTACATTCCCACAAGATATTCCGATGCATGACACAGCGGGAATCACCATCGAGTCTTCTGCTGAATCTTTTTCTATTGGTCATAAGTTTATACCCAAGGTGGTCACTCCTGTGGTCTATTAGTTTGTAATACAAAAGGGGCAATTCCACCTTCAGTAAATATGCTGAGATTCTCACTGTGGTTGAGGTTGTCTCAACAGCAGGAAGGATGTATTCATGGCCAGCATTCCAAATGTTTACCAATGATGTGCACTTTGCATTGGCAAATCAACCAGCATGAAGGCTGTTCTGTAGGACATCCTTCTGGCACCCTCTGGAATGAGTCACAGTGTGACATAATTGGCCAAAAATGTTTTGGTAGTTCTTAGCATGGCAGGATACCTGTTGGATAAATGTGGTGACAAGGCCTTTAGAAGACTAGGTACCCCCCTCATAAAACTAAAAATAGACGGTTGATCTTGTGTGCAATCCAGCACTGGGCGAAGCTCTCAGAACTCCCTTCCATGCCCTGTCTGACAGCAACAGTGCCCTTTTGTGGTCCATAGGAGAAGCATTTGATTAGACTGCTTGCCCGGCTCGTAGTGCATGTGCGGAAGGGACTGCTTAGAGGGAGAGAATGCTTCCATTTGCAGGAGTGCTGCCTTCAAAGGAGAAGACAACGGTGTTAGTCACCAGCGCACTGACGACACACGGAAATTTTGCACAGAATTCATATTAGGCGTTGGGGCTATAACTAGCACCAGCACAAACGTGCAGATAGCTCAGTGCGTGCAGCATTTCTGCATGAACAGACTCTTGCCACCATGACCACTTCTAAAAGCAGAAGTGGTCATGGTAGTTGAAGTAACACTTGACGTCTTCTTTTTTTTAATGTAAACTTTGTTGTCAAGAAAAACGAACAAACAGAGTACATGTATGAGTTAAATGTCATATCTTGTTGTATGAAGTCATGCTTTCTATTGATCAAAGATAAATTAATAATTTTCCATTAGAAATGTTAAATTTCGATTCTTGTTTACAGATATATGTCTAGCTTAAATGACTCGTACAATAATTGCTAATTGAAGGAATGAATGGCTGTAGATAAGGCTTTAGAGTCCTATAACTGTTTTATAGAATATATTATTGAGTTGCGGACAGGTTGGGTACTGTTATTGCTATGGAAACAGTTTGACTTTTATGAACAATACGTCATGCGAACACTTTAACTAATCCTTCCTGACCTACCACAAGAAGCGTTTGGAAATATCCGATGTACTCATCCAAATAGACCAATGTCTTGTATTGCACTTTTTGTAAGAACAAACAACAGTTATAATGGCATGTTACCTAAAATATCTATATATCATAAAGTCTGACATTAGTAAAAACATATTAATTGTTGTAAATTTAACTTTAACATTTGCCTCCTAACTCTGACTGCACCACCCATGGCTGAATGTTGGGATATATTGATTGATGTGGAACTCACGGGGGAGTGGGTGAGAAAAGGGGGTATAATAGTCCTAAATGCATACGTTGCGGGCATCTGACAAGCAGGTCGCCAAACAGCCAACCAGAACTTCACCTGTACAGGACACTATAGGAGTAGTATAGTAATCTGCCGAATTCATAGGATCATTCATTGATGTGTTTAGATTGCCCATGAGAACAGGGGTCACCAGAGATCTATCTCAAGACAGCGGGGCACGATTCTTGAATCATTACTCTCCTACTATCAGATTCATCCTGTAGTCTTCTTAGTTTGTATAGCTGCCGTCCTGTGGGCAATAGCTCCTGCCTCCATTCTCAAAACCCACCTTACTCTGTGAAGGTATGGGAAACTTCTATATGCATTTGTGAATTTTTATTTCTGGAAATATTAGTTAATAAGATATATTTGGACGCTCTACCACGAAAAAGTAGACTAGAACTTGGTTGTTAAAGTTCCATTCTGCCCTGATCCTATACATTTGGCAAGTAGAGTTAAGTTTACTATACTGCAAAATCTTAGATCTAATGGAGGAGTGGGAATTCCCGACTTTAAGAAATATTACTATGCCTCCAATGCGGCCTCTGGGCTTAAGTTTAATTTAGAAACGCAATGTCCTAGTTGGTTGGAAAGTGAGGCGGACAATTTGCACGATCAGGTCATCCTCCAGTCTATCTAGAGCTATGCCTTTATCAGCTCTACAACACTATTTACCACAAATTGACCTAAATTATTGGCATATGCCTTTGATTCATAATTTGACAGATTTTATTTCGGGAAACTCTATAATGTCTTTTGAGAAATTACAATCCAAATTTAACTGAGACAATTTTATTAATTCGGAATATAATATGTGTAACGGATCACCTGGCACCCCGACTGGGTACCTCCGTTGAAGGATGCTCCTAGTGCTTCCTGAGGGCTCCAAGCACTCCAGCCGACACCATAACCACTGTAGACTCCTTCAGAGAGCAAGACTGGAACAAGCTCTTTAAAGAGCTTTGAAGTGATTATCCAAGGGAGCATGCAGAACATAGCAATCCCTTGTAGTGATATAGCAATTCCTCCAATAAGAGACAGGACTCTAGATTGAGGGTGAAGAAGAACTGTCTGTACTGGCACATACAGCCTCTTTTATTCACATTCTACAAACATAGTACTGCCCACAGGGTTTTGAAGAACAACCAATCAACACATTACAACACAGCTAACACTCCCATTCATTACATCAGTGTGGTGAAACCGACCTCGCCACTGGGCATTGGAGAAGACTGATTGCCAGCCTCCTGCCATGTGACTATGGCCCCTGGGATGTATTGCCCTTTAAAGACATTATTTGGGCTTATTGATTTTCAAAACACTTTTTCTGCCCCTTTGAATACATGAGAAGGTGTGCCCCTCCCCCATTTCCTGTCTATTGTTCTCCAGCAGGGCGTTGTCCCAGGGACACTGCCAGACCAGTTGGAACTTGATGCTAGACTTAAACCCCATGGCGATTTGACTGTGTTTGTGGGATCTGGGCGCTGTTTGGATATATTGAGCGCTCAGATCCAAGCCAACTGGGGATATGTTGAATGTACCTGTTTTATGCAATAGCTGCACAGTTATATATTTTTATGTATTTTATTGTATTTTGCCACCATGTGGCTAATGGAGTTTTGCCTCTGTCCTTGGAGATAATTGGATTACTTCCCAAATATCTCCAGGATAGAAGACTCTGTGGGAGTTTTGGGCAGAAAAGCCATGCTTCATTTGGTCACAAAGGACGTTGATCTAACTTTTGACCCACTGGACCAATTTGTATGATTTTGACGTATGTTGGTATTTGGAGTATGCTGATTCCTTTTATTTTCCCTGCAGAAAGGCGTATTCGTGCCTTTCTGCCAGGGTATTCGGTAGATTCAATCTACCGAACCAAGTACCGAATGATGGACCACGTGGGAACTGGAGTGTGCCGTCAATTGACCGCCCAGAAGCTGCGGTTAACCACAGCTAAATTGACAAACGCTGGGTGGCCTTTGTTCGTTTGCCGAACACGTGGCAGCGGCCATTGTAACTCCCGAACGGCCAGCGGTGTGCAGCGCCCAAACTATGGAACTGGAAACGGACACTTATTTGCGCGAACCACGCTGCGCTGCCAGCCTCCTTACCTCTGCATTCGGTAGTGGAACCGAATGACTGTTCATTCGGTAGTTTGACCATATGAACAGCATCACCCCAGACAGCTATGCCATGGAGCCTATTCGTGTAACGAAAGACTATGTAAAAGACTTTGGCTCCATGGCAATTGAACTGTATGTATGTGATCTGAGTGCAATTCGGTAATAATGTGCGCTCAGATCTAAGCTATCTGGGGATATGTAGAATGTGTGTGTTTTATGTGATAAAGGTAACCGTGTGTAATTTTATGTCTTTTTACTGAAAATGTGTGTAATGGAGTTTTGCCTCTGTCCTTGAAGATAATTGGATTACATCCAATTATCTCCAGACCAGAGAGGAGGGATTGTGATGCATTGTGGGATGGTTGAAATGTGTAAGTCTGTGATTGGTCCTTTTACCCTTTGTGTCCCAGTCTTCCATCTGGTCCCCTAGGGGAGTGTCCACCAGGTGGGATACCTGCATAAAAGCCAGGCAGGTAGCCCCAGTAAACCAGTTCTGCTTGACCCTCAAACGAAGTGTCGTCTCGTTCTTGGGGGATTTGGATTGTATGCTGATTGCCAGGAGTGTAAGCTGAGTGTATGCTTTTCCTGTTCGGCTATTTCCAGTGTTCGTGTGTTTCCTGTTCGGGAGTTAGAGGATTTGTGTAGTTTGCAGTTCGGGAGATTGGTGCTTACAGTAGCTGTCTGTGCATCTGAAAGGGGAATATTTACTAAACGGCTTTAACCCCTTTTATGCATGGGGGTGCCATTACAGACCTCACAGACTGGTCCTGGGAAGACCCACAGATGGCAGGTGGAGATGGGACTGCGGTCTCTCTACCGGCCCTACAGGGATACTGGGCGGTCGACCCAGATCCCCAGCGGCAGTATGTATCACAGGGAGCTAAAGGTGCCGTCCTTCCTCCCCAGTGGCAGAGTGTGTCCTTAGGAAAGGAGAAAGTTAGGCCCTCTCCTCAGCAGTCCAGTGAGTCCCAGGGAACCAAGGTGCCGTCCTTCCTCCCCAGCCGCAGTATGTGTCACAGGGAGCTGAAGGTGCCGTCCTTCCTCCCCAGCGGCAATGTGTCCTGCAGGGAGCAAAGACAGTCGGTCTCGCTCCCCAGCAGCAGGACAATATATTGAAAGGGGAGACAGTCAGTCCCCCTCTCCACCAGCAGAGAGAGTGTCAGGGAGAGGAGCTTGTTACCCCCTCTCCCAGCGGCAGCGTAGCCCACCAAGGGGAGACACTAAACTCCCCACTGGTGCACATGGGACCGTGGTCTCTGCGCCCAAGCTACAGGGAGTACAGACAGATGGTCCTGCTCCCCAGCCGCAGAGTATTCTACCCGGAGGGGAGAGCCTCGTTCCCCCTCCCCAGCGGCAGCCTAGCCCACCAAGGGGAGATGATTAGCCCCACACCGGTGCAGATGGGACCGTGGTCTGTGTGTCCAAACCACAGGGGGTAGGGACGGTTGGTCCTGTCCCCCAGCAGCAGGGCTGTTTATCCAAAGGGGAGACAGCCTGTATTCCCCTCCAGCAGGAACACCAGGTCCAGAGGGAGGAGCCTACTAACCCTTCTCCTCAGCTGGGCTCCAACCAGCTACTCCCATGGTAGCGCTGGCACCAGGGCAGAGTACCGCTGGTCTCTGCCCACTCAGCAACCCACCGATCCGGAAAGGCTAGTACCCACCAGAGCCGTGGTGGAGCCCCTGGACATGGACAAGCTACCCACTACCCCAGGTGGAGTAACCAATTCTTGTGGGTGGGCCACTCTGTTGATTATGTTTTGTGGGTGGGTTGCTGGACTAACCAAGGCACTGACTGACAGGAGTTCAGATACCTTGTTAGTCTTTTTGGGAAAGGGGAGAAATGTGGCGAAACCGACCTCTCCACTGGGCATTGGAGAAGACTGATTGCCAGCCTTCTGCCATGTGACTATGGCCCCTGGGATGTATTGCCCTTTAAAGACATTATTTGGGCTTATTGGATTTTGAAACACTTTTTCTGCCCCTTTGAATACATGAGAAGGTGTGCCCCTCCCCCGTTTCCTGTCTATTGTTCTCCAGCAGGGCGTTGTCCCAGGGACACTGCCAGACCAGTTGGAACTTGATGCTAGACTTAAACCCCATGGCGATTTGACTGTGTTTGTGGGATCTGGGTGCTGTTTGGATATATTGAGTGCTCAGATCCAAGCCATCTGGGGATATGTTGAATGTACCTGTTTTATGCAATAGCTGCACAGTTATATATTTTTATGTATTTTATTGTATTTTGCTACCATGTGTTCAATGGAGTTTTGCCTCTGTCCTTGGAGATAATTGGATTACTTCCCAATTATCTCCAGGATAGAAGACTCTGTGGAACTGGTTTTGGGCAGAAAAGCCATGCTTCATTTGGTCACAAAGGACGTTGATCTAACTTTTGATCCACTGGACCAATTTGTATGATTTTGACGTATGTTGGTATTTGGAGTATGCTGATTCTGAAAATGTAAGTGAATGTGAATGTGATACATACTTTTAAAGTTATGAATATTGTGTAAAACTGTATATTTTCCTGCCTGTGATAATTATATTAACCCATTGTGTAAGGTAATTTTATCACGGGCAGAGGGGAGGATTTTGTGTGGGAGTTTCTGAGTGTATTGTACGTGTTTATTGGTCATCATACAAATTGGTCCAGTAGGTCAAAAGTTAGATCAAAGTCCTTTGTGACCAAATGAAGCATGGCTTTTCTGCCCAAAACTGGTTCCACAGAGTCTTCTATCCTGGAGATAATTGGGAAGTAATCCAATTATCTCCAAGGACAGAGGCAAAACTCCATTAGCCACATGGTAGCAAAAGACAATAAAATACATAAATATATATAACTGTGCAACTATTGCATAAAACAGGTACATTCAACATATCCCCAGATAGCTTAGATCTGAGTGCACATTATTACTGAATAGCGCTCAGATAACATACATACAGTTCAATTACCATGGAGCCAAAGTCTTTCACATAGTCTTTCGTTATACGAATGGGCTCCATGGCATACCTATATGGGGTATCACTGCTCACATAGGGAAAGTACCGAATGACCTGGCTTTCGGGTCTTTGCAGGGGGAAATCAAGCATTTCAACATGGGGCCATAGTCACAGGGCAGGAGGCTGGCAATCAGTCTTCTCCAATGCCCAGTGGCGAGGCTGGTTCCGCCACAATATGATTATTGACATACTGAAAGAAGGTATGACTATTTTTGCCCTGGACCAAAGATTTGATACCTTGGAAATCTCTAATTTAGAAACGATTTATCTCTTTGATCCGGGCAGAAGACTTACCATATCCTTTTGCTACTCATGTGTCATGCCTAATCTCTAACCTCATAACAAAAACAAAATACATGCTGGCATGGGAAAAGGATTTGGGGTTTCAATATAAACTGGAGGACTGGCTTGGTTTCACCACCTCTCTCAAAGGCATAACACAATGTTCTGGTCACTTAGAGACTCAATTAAAGATTGTTTATCACTGCTTTTTGCCCCCTTCTAGGCTACACAGAATGGATCCTGTAATCTCGAATACATGCTGGCGTGATTGTGATATGATTGGCTCTTTGTCACGTGTTTTGTGGTACTGCCCTAAGCTTAAAGAGTTTTGGAAAAATATTCACTCACTAATTAAGCAAGTAGACCTGTCTAATTCCATATTTACTTCAGAATTGGCATTATTCAATAGGTTCCCTGATAACATGCGTAAGGTTGATAGAATCATTATAGGACATATATTGATTGCTGCCACTTCTATTATTCCAAGACAATGGAAACATTCAACTATGCCTTCGATAAAGGAACCATTATATACCATCATAGAGAATTAACAATACTATTAAACAACTGTCTACATTTACAGATAACCTAAAATATTATTGGGATATATGGGAGGAAGAGATTTTTATAAGATTTTCTTTAAAACCCTGAAAAAAAGTAATTACTAATTCTATAGCCATTTCGGAGATAATATACAACTACACCTTGGTTTTTCCATTTGGTATTACCTGTACCAAATGCATTATTGTTATTAATGCTTACTAGACAATTCAATTATGACTATATTAATCTGGATGCACATTTTTTCCTTTCTTTTTTTTTTTATTTATCCACCCTTTTCCTTCCATTTTACATTTTATTTTAATTCTTTTAACATTTTGTTTTATTATCATTATTGTTATTTTAAAAAAATTAAAAATGATTCAATAAAATAATTTGAAAAAAATAAATAAAAGAATAGTATTATGATATAGCGGGAGTAACCAATTCCCCCGGTGCGTCTAGACAGGTGACTTGGCTAAAGTAATATACATATGGATCTTAGCTGGGGTAAGGCAATGTTTGTTATTAATTCCCAGAGAATAAGATTTTGCAGTGGATTTTACCATTGAATCTTTTTTTCAAATCATGCGTTTTCCAGATGTCCAGGCAATGTTTACAGCTTGCTTGTGATTTCTGTACAAATAAAAGCAGGATGTAAGGTAACAATGAGTATGAACAAAAAGCTCAGGTCCCAAATAAGATTTAGATGACTTGTGCCAATACAGAGTCACAAGAGACTGATCCCACCATGATGGGAATCTGGAAACGAGAACCAGGCTGCTTCTTTCTGCATGACTGGTACATGGATTCCAACACAATTGTTTTGGTGTTTATTAGGCCTCATCAGAAAATTCCAGTTGCTACCTATCTTGGCACAGTGAGCGCGAGGTCTCGTCTGGATTACCCTTGATTTAGGGGAATCTCTTGCATGCAAATAAGCCAAAATGGGTGTATGAGGTATAATCTCATAGACTGAACCTGTTTGCTGATACACCAAACTGTTCAAGCACATTAAAATCAATAAGCTCTTGCACTGAGAAGAATCCTTTTCAGGAGCAGTCCTTCTGCCTCTGTCAATCCCACGCCAAAACATGCTGAACTAAAGCAGCTCGTGACTCTAACACTTGGCACTAGTAAGGTATGAATCCCAGAACACGACTCTTCAGTGTATCTAGATTTTTGTAAAATCTTTGTATCTAGCAGTGACATTGTGTCTGCACAGTTTTAAAGTGACACGCTTGTTTAATTAGGTTAACTCTTGGGTCATGTAAGATGTTGCCACAGACTGGCCTGCTCTGTCTTGTAGATTTTTTGGGGGTTAAATGTAGATAACAGGATCGTCGGCTACCATGGTGTGAGGAATTAGGTGTCAGGTACTGGTAAGTAGAAGATCCTCAGCTGCAGATTAAGGCAAAGGATAGAAAGAAGTATTGCCAGATTAGCAGCCTGGCTTAACTTGGAAGAAAGACACCAATACGATGTAAACAGGCCGAGTTCAGGATTCTAGAAAATAAACAATTCAAGGTCAGGGCAGGCAGAAAGCAGGGGAGGTCAATTAACAAGCCAGGCGAATACAGGAACACAAGATATGCAAAACTCAGACCCAAATAAATAGCATAGTAACGATATCGAGCTGGCAATGAGCTAGAGGAGAGTTGGTCCTGTTATGTCAGAAGGACATGCCGCTGCGTGAAATTACGTACAAAATGTGTCATCAATTAATGCAGCCATACATTGTCTGGTATTAAACTTCTAAATTGCTAGGCAAGCTTAATTTAAAAAAAATGTGTGCAGGCCGGCTTAAAGAAACCTCTACTGACTGCTGGTATATTAGGTTCACTGTGCTCTTAACATGGTATTAGTGCACTAACTCACAAGAGATTTATGGCTAAATAGATACATTGGCTTCCACTGCATCAATCTCCACAATAAGGTACTGGCAGTAGGAAAGTAGAACAGCGCCCCCTAGTGGACTTGGTTAAAATTACATTACATGCATTGTCTATAGTGAATATTATCCGTTTATTGTGAATTAAAGAACGTACATTCCTTCATCCTGTTCCCATTGGCTTGTGTTTTTACCTATATTAGATATGTGTCGCACACATTCACTTTAAATAAATCACTTTTTCACCTTAGTAGAAATAACATGATGCACTAATTTGGCTTCATTTGTTTTATATCATTTTGAACAAAGGTTAACTTTGTGACTTCCAAGTCCTCACTAGACTATATTGTGCATCTAACTCACATTATCTATCACACACAGTCTGAGTTATTCACTGATGTGAGAATTTAAAGTGAATTTCAAATTTAAGGTCAAACAAGCCAAACTGGAAAAATCCTCTATGCCAACTATGCTCTCAGTTCATCTACTTTGGCCTTAAATTTGAAATTTTCTTTGAATTCACTTTCAATTCTCACTTTAGTAAATAGCTCTTATAGTGTTTTGCAATATGTGTGTGTGTGTGTGTGTGTGTGCATATATATGTATATAAATTTATATATTTTATTAATTTTTTTCTCTTTGCTATTAGCTTTCATTAATTTAATTGCAAGAAATATGCATTGATTACAGCTTGACTCTGCAGTTTTCCCATAGATGTAAATTCACATGGAGTTGACTCTGAAAGCAGAAAGGTATTCAGCCATATCAGCCTGGAATGTAGATTAACCATTTAGCAAATAAGCAACTTCACTTATCAGATTCCCGTTATGTACAAAAATTCCCACCGGGGAGGATAAAGAGAGAGATGATCACAGAATACTTCTACAATCAGGTTGAAAATCTTATCCTGTATTTTTGTGTTAACATCTGTAACTTGTCAGAAATGTATATTCTAGTTATGCACTAAGTAAATGATCAGATACCCAGGCCATCACAATTTTCTAAAAATGGCATAAAACTTGTAGAATATTTAACTTTCTAAAATAAAGAAAGATTTTCAAAATTAATGTTTTATTTTTCTATATCTTTTTTATAGGAGGAATACTTGATTGTGATATGTGTTGTCCAAGAATACATCGATATCTGTACCCAACCTTAGCTTAACAGATATTTGATCTGTTGCCACTTGACGTTACCAATGAGAGATTCCACTATGTTGCACGCAGAGGGCAGTGCCTTACTGAAGGCCGTGTGGCAGGGCAAATTCAGACTCACGCGCCTCCTGCTGGAAGGTGGTGCCTATATTAATGAAGGGAATGCCCAAGGGGAAACACCACTGATGGCTGCTTGCTTAGCCAAATATGACGACCCTCAGAATAAATCTCGGATGGTGAAATACCTTTTGGAAAATGGAGCAGACCCTAATATGCCGGACAAGATGGGTAAAACAGCTCTTATGCATGCCTGTTGCAATCTGACTGGGGTGGGCATAGTGTCTGTGTTGCTGGAGCATGGGTCAGATCCTAGTTTGAAGGACTATTCTGGTACATCTGCACTCATGTATGCCATTAACAAGGGGGACCGTGAAACTTTGAGAGTCCTTTTAGATGCATGCAAAGCTAGAGGTAAGGAAGTTATCATCATAACTACCGATACTTCTCCTTCTGGGACCAAAAAGACAAAGCAGTATCTCAACTCCCCTCCATCACCAGGCATTGATGAAAAGCAATCCCCTGCGGTATGTATGTCACCATCAGAAATAGACTTAAAGACTTCCCTCTCCCCTGCAAGTGAGAAAGAAGAAGCTAGGGATGTCTTTAACTTCAACATGGGAACTAGACTTACATGTCCTTCGTCCTGCAAACTCGAGGTTAAACCACCAGACCACATACCGATTAAAGGTAGGATGATTAACAAGAAACAGCTAAAGAGACTGAATTCTGAACCATGGGGGCTAGTTGCCCCATCAGTGCTGGCTGCTTCTCATCTTGCTGTGCCCACTGAAAAGACCACAGTTGAAGAGGCTGAAGAGAAGGTCATATCTGAAGTAAACAATTTATCTATTACCAAGAGACCTGTACTTTCCAGACGTCATAGCATAGAGGGACAAGACCCATCATGCTTCAAGATGGGTGAGGAGTCTCCTGAGGAGGATCCATCAGCTCAAGATGCTTCATGGGCTGACAAAATCCAATTAAGTCACCTTCATCAGCCACTGTCAAGGCGCAATACAGCACCTGAGGCTCAGGAAACATCTAATGCCACACTGGCTCCAACAGTTGGAACTGCCTTACGTGTAGTTGCTCATCATAAGTTGACACGCATGGACCACTATGAATCAGATTCACATCTTTGTCCAGATTCTATTCCAGGTTCCCCAGACTCTGGACGTGTTTCTTTGGAAAGGCGGAAATACAATGCTTCTCCATTGACCCTCTTCACTAGTTCTTCACGGGAGTCCTTAGAGAGTATTCCTAGTGCTGTCTCACCAATGACCGTCCGCCGCAGGACCCCCGGCCTCTTAGAAAGACGGGGATCAGGGACACTTCTTTTGGATCATATATCTCATACTCGACCAGGCTTCTTGCCTCCTCTAAACATCAATCTAAACCCTCCGATCCCAGACATCCGATCTAATGGCAAAGCACCATCACCCGTCCATGGAAGCCAGAAGACACTTATTCCAGTAGCACCCACCTCTCCAAAACACTTTGATGCCAAAGCCAAGAAAAAATTGATTAGAAGGCATTCTATGCAAACCGAACAAATCAAGCAGCTTGCTAGTTTTCAAAATCTATTTGCCCCAAATGAGTCTACAAATTAGATCACGAAAACAGCAATTCGGAAGTTTGTTACTCAAGCATACTTGATCACCCAGCTCACAAGACATATTGGTTGCTTCATGTTTTTAGCACTAGTCAACAAAATAAAATATAGACATATAAAAATAAGATGGAAAAAAAAAAATAGATGACTAAGTATTTTTTACATAGTGATCACATTAGGTGACCTCTGAAGACTTAGAAGAGATGAGGAACTAAATACTTGTGTAAATGGAAATCCATACAAATGTAAATTTAAAAGCCAAAATGTAATTCCAGATACTTATATTTAAATGAAGAACCAGATAAATGCATACTTAATTATATATTATTTAGATAACTGTGTAACCATAACAATACAAACTCTGTTGGATAATCATCTGGTGCCATCTTCTGAGCAACTCACAAACAAAAGGATTTTGTAATTTTTTTGCGTGGGATCAAATTTATATTTCTTTTTTAATTCATTTTATGAAATTTCCTTTGTAAAGTAGAGCACTTAGTACTTAGTACATGGAGAACCCTTTTAATGAGTTTGATTATGCGTTTCCCCACTCTGTGACAAATTTACATTAACCCCTCAAGGACCAAACTTCTGGAATAAAAGGGAATCATGACATCTCACACATGTCATGTGTCTTTAAGGGGTTAAGTAGAACAAAAACATAGCTTTAGATGAATGACATACAAATCCAGGAGAACAAATGCTTTGGTAACAAAATAGAACGGCTTTTATATATATATATAATGTATAAATATAATAATGAATGTCACTGGATACATACTTTTTTGTTGAAACTAGGCAATATTTTTAATTTATAGAAATTTTTTAGACGAGCCGACCATATTTTGAAATTCCGTACTGCGCAGTGGGTGACGTCACAGCATGCATTAATAATTCCAGCCATGGTGTGACTGATACTGAGCAGTGAATACGCAGAGAAGCCTGAGATTTGTGGGAGTTGTTCTGCACGGTAGCAGGTACGTTGTCCCCTGCTGTCATTCTTTCAGCCTTCTTTTGTTAGTGATGTGTTGGGAGAGGGACTGGTTACACAGTTATAGTGCACTTTTCTCTCCCCAGCTGCTATCCCAGCATATCATTGAAGGGAGAGAGAGTGAATTAAAGATGCCAGCTGCTGCAAGATATTCTAACTCCCACCAATCTTGGGCAGACCAGGATGTCAATGTGCTGGCTTGAGATTAAAGGAACCTTTGCACTTGCCTAACCCTTATGCTAAGCCCTAATTTAAAAGATCATGTATTGTGAAAGATATATAATGCTAAATAAAGCAAGTATTAGGGAAAAATCCTGGAATACCAGGGGTTCTGGAGACATTAATGTACCACTAAATCGAACGCTACGATGTCTTCAGAACTCTGAGATTGAATTTTTTTTTACCTGTAATACATGATTCATTGCTATATATGTGTCTGAAATAGTGTGTAGGGATAGATTTATATGTATAATTTAGAACACATGTTTATATATAAATATATAATTTAAATGTATATATTAGATATGTATATACACCTCACAGACATCTTGCACTCAACATTGCTTATTAAAAGGTCCAGGTTCGTCAGCTGTTTGTTTCCACAATGAAATTGAGAGTTATCAAGATTCTATATAGAAGGAGACTTTAGTAAAGTAAGTCAATATAAGACTGAAATATTAAACAGTCATATTAAACCTCAATCAGACTTTAAAAAGTCCCACTTTATGTATAGACACTTTAGATGATTTAGAGATTGTCTGCTTACAGAACTTGTGAAATGATGATCTCAGGTGATATCAATCTAGGAAGCCGTGTCATCAAGACAAGCCGTGTTGATAACCTCTTCTACTGGTAAACCAGCTTTCTCCTCGTTGTCTACAGGAATTTGCTGGTCCTATGTGTACGCCATTTTAATATTCCAAATTTCAGATTTCCCTCTCTCAATATTTCATCTTAAGGAGTTAATCTATTCTATGTTCTGTAGACCATCAGATCACCATGTTCATTATAAATAGAATGTCCAGCTCATAGGGCAATCACCTTGGTAACCATTGGAATGTTCCTACAGATAGTTAACCGGGTTATTCCTTGAAGTGAGGATTCAACATGAATTTCAAATTTAGGGTCAAAATATCCAAACCGCAAAATTTCTCTAAGTCAGATATTATTATTATTTTATTATTCATATAGTGACATCAGATTTTGTAGCGCTGTACAATGGGATATGCTTCTAGTTTATCTAATCTGGCCTTAAATTTAAAATTCAGTTTGAAATCTTACTCTAGTAAATAACTCTGTAGGAACGTTGTCCCAGAATTGATCTGTTTTCGCACAACTCTGGCTGCATTAGAAAACGAATGGAGACTGTTACTCGGATCAGAGTTTATTAGTGTCTAATATTCCAACTTTAGTCTTGGTCTACAACTACGCTCACCTGGAGTCCTTAACACCAAAACATGGACAAAGGTATAACGATTCATCAGAGGGTGATGGGGTCACCAGATATTTGATGTAGTTCAATGACTTGGTGTGATAATCACTTATTTTATTCAGCACAGAACATTTTCTGTTGAAGCAAATACTTTATAGTTCTCGAAGATTCTTCTTGCTAATTTTACTTTCGGTGGATGGCAGCAGCAATTATACATCGGGGTAGTTTGTGATGTGTGATTTTACTGTAGGCATATAGAATGAAATATTATATTCAGATGATAAGAAACATGTAGACGAACAAATATGTCTGGCCACTGTAGTCTACAATAAAACATACTGAGCATTTGTAACCTACATTCAAGCATGTCTTGGGATCATTTCCTATTCTCAAGAACATAGGGTCAACATACGCTACACTCAAACATGTTAGGCAGTCGTTCCCAGTAGGACCACTGATAAATACTCTCCAATATGTAGGACCAACGTATTCTTCATTGTTTGAAAGTCGTAATATAAGCTTAGACGTGCTGAACCAACATCTCACTCAGATCATCAGAACTAGATGCAATATTAATTACAACTCTAAGTACTGGTTTCTTACCACATTGTATCACCCGAAAACGTTTTGTACATTATTATAATCTTACATGTGGAGTACAGAGTTCCTGGCAGGTAACGCAGACTTAGTCACTGTTGAAATCTTAACAGAATAAATCTGTGATTTGAATAATTTGGGGCTTTTTTTGTTAAACTTGCTTGTTTTTTTATTTTATTTTAAGACCTTATGGAGTGTTTGAGATTAGACTGAATGGTTAAATGCCTTGTTTGCTTTTAGCTCTCTTTGTTAATGGTGGAGTTAATAAGCTGATCAGTCTATATTTTGAAATAGTTGGTATGTTTCAGAACCCATGGTCCTGACTCAAAATGTTTGAGTCTAAAGTACATTGTTGGTGGGGGCAAGTGTTGGCCCAAGTTAACGCATTTACCCAAACTCATTCAAATATCATCACTGTCTTATATAATGTGCTCTGGGTTTGTGCCTGGTTTGCCTCTAGGTTAAATTCAGCAGATTAACTGTGTTCATTCTGCCCCTGCTACAAGGTTAAATATTAGCTGGAATACCCCTCCTACAAGATTACATTTGGACTGGTCTACCCCGCCCCCTCCTACAAGGTTTTTTATTGGCTAATGTCTGCTCCTCCTACAAGGTTCCATAATAGTTGATATCTGCTCCTTTTATGAGATTTCTTATTGGCTGACCAATATTAACAACTATATGGGCTGTCCCAAACACATACACACCTCTTCATTTAACTCTTTAAATATATACTATGATTTTATGTATTTTTCAACGCACAATTCCCTTTATAATATTACCTTTTGGTTTGACTAGGCCTTATCGGGCTGAATGAAGACCGGGGTAACGGACTCAGTGTTTATAATATTATACATACATAGAATAAAGATTAAATACAGGTTATTGTGAGGCACATGAGTTGTGTTATTTTTTTTAATACAGTGCTTAGGAATGATATAACTTATATTTGAATATAAATATAGAGAAACAGACAGAGGAATAGATTTAATTAATAACTAAGTATACACAGGTTCGTGTATGTGTACAGGTCTATATATAGCTATAGATATGTGTTAATAGAAATATACTGTGTGCTGCCTAGATATGTATGGTGCGCGTAGAGACTGTGCGGGAACCAGACAAATAATTGTCTAGAACTTTACATGCAGTTATGTCATGTGAACACAAGATGGCAGTGTTGCCGCATATATATTTAGGATTATTTCTGCATATCCTAAAAAAACAATGTGTAGGGATTTTTAAGAATGGGATGAACTTCCATAAGATTATTATAAAATAATTTTAATGTCGTCACATTGGAAATGGGATAATACCGAATTATTCACTAAAGTCTGACATGTCCAGAAATCAAAGTGAATTCAAAGTAAGTTACATATTTTAGACCAAAACAGATGGATTGATAAAAATCTCCAGGTCGAATATGTTTTCAGTTTGGCTTTTAAGACGTAAAACTTCTCTTTGGATTCATTATTATTTTTATAAACGTATTGCATGTAATATCTGTTTCTGCTGCTGATCCAAAAGAAGGCGAATACTGATTTAACCCCAAAGTGCTATTGATGGCACCTGTCCGCTCGGCCCCTTTGCCCTTGATCCGGCGCCATTGATAGTCTGAGAGCACCAACTGATGTACACAACTAAGAGCCAGTATCTGTATTCACAATGCTGCTAACTGCTTTTATATATATAATGCAACCTAGTGCGGGTTTTCGATTCAATAATGAAGAAATGTACCAATTCCTGGGATCTGTTATTGGTAATAACTTGTACTGCTACATAGGTCAGTTACAATCAATAAGAATTAGAGCAATACCAGATGGATAATAAAATTGCCTCTTACGACCCCTGCCTTAATATCTTCCCATTTCATACCCGACGCGTTTTACTGCAGTTCTTTTAACCCTGCCAGACAGCTCTTTCAATCATTGCTTTGCTGTTTGCAGTTTACTTTGTCTTTATTTTGTACTTAGATCAGATTTGTTTAATGTCAGATGCAATGTAAGTTTCCTTGAACACGAAAAGTAACATTTATATCAAGTACCATCAGATTATCCATCTTGTAGTTTCACAATATCAGAAATCTAGTATTTTTAATATAATATTGGATACATTTACCAAGATATTGGGTGGATTGAAAAGAATAAATATATAAAGCATATTTTCAGGATCACATAAAAACATCATTACATTTTAATTTGATAAATCTATCGTATTCCCAAACTGAGATATAAAATTCTCCTGTCCTGGATGTAGTTATTTCATGGTGTCTGCATGTGCTGACAAATGTGATTATGTTTTTCAGGCAGCTGAAGGCGATGAGGTGTAGATACAGTGTTTATTCACCTCTAACTGTCCTAAAACTGCAACGTTGCCATGGAAATGTTTCTAATGATCCTAATATGTCAGTTACCAAATTTATTGTTCTTTAGAAATATGTATTTTCCTTCCTACAATATAACACATTTTCGAACATTATCTGGTTTCATGAGATTTCTTTAGTGATCTAAGAATAAAAATTTTTTAATGATATATTTCTTAATAATTTGCTATAAATATTAAAATTCTAAACTTCTATAAATGTTTCCCTTTCTGAAACTGGAAAAGACTGACATAATGTATGACTTACTGACATGATAAATGCACTATTATTATTTAATGTTTTGTTGTTTTTACTTTTCTTCATTTTGGCCGCTGGTTGTGTTTAACCCCTTAAGGATGATCTGTGCCATCATACAATATGTTCTCTAATAGTAAAGCTCTGTAGAGATGCCATTATTATATTAGCGGGATATTCTATGATGGTATAAGGTCTTCATGAACCCGGTTATACTGATGGCAAAGAGTAACATTTGGTCCTTAAGGGGTTAATACTATAAGCAGCCAACTTTTATCTGAAAATGCCTCATTGTAAGACATGGCAAATGTTACCATTACCTCTATGTATGTGTCATTTTATTATATTATAAAACATGAAGGCTGAATTCAGTTGGGTTCTTTTTAATGCAGATGTTTCTCAGAGTTTAATTATGGCTGAGAATAAAAAGTATTAATTTATTTATTTGACAATTAATCGTGAAAAAAAATATATTAGCACAAGATGTGAAACTTCATTATTCTTAAGACTTTACTGAATAATGTTAAAATAATCCTCAAGTCCCAACGTTCCTTATTAACCTTATATATATATATGGATTGTTATATGTGTCTATCAACTGAACTTCTCTTTATGTAAATCAGTTTAATAGAACTCTTCCAAACAGATTAATATTATTTGTCTCTAACCAAGTGATTAAAAAATGAATTCTAGTTCCATTTTAATGAACCGACTCGTTTTACTTTGACCACAATAAATCATGGTTTATAGAACTCCAGGTAGAACCCATGTAAACGTTGGACTGAATAGGAATTTATTAATGGAGAATCCAGTCACTGGGATCTGTTTATCGGTAAGGATACCAAGATATTTACTGACGGAGGAATCTGCACACTTATTATCAGAGAACGACGGGTGTTTCTTGTCAACCATATTACTTAACTCTTTCACTGCCAATAGAAGTCTTCCTGAAAAGCAAACCAACCCAAGTCCAATCTTCTTGCAGTAAATCAAGAGTTAAAGTGCTTTTAAATATAAAGGATATGTGTTAACCCCATAACTGCTAAAAGCCTCACTGAGCAATGGGAATTTATTAACCTCTTACATGCTGGAGAAAGCTGCTACATGTATTTGTCCCACCCCCGCGGAATGCCGGGTTCTGAAGCGATTGGCTGAATATCTTGTCGATAATCCCTAACAATGTGACGGACTCTCGCGCTTTTTTAGGAAAACAATGACTCCAAAGGTGACGTAGGCGCCATCTACGCAATATCAGAAATCGTAAAACGTGTTTGTTAAATTAGCTCAGAGGATTAGACAATCAGGAACAAAAATAAAATCTATCAGATCCATGAAATAAAATTATCTGGAAAACTATCTGGACTGCTGTGTTTTCTTTTTAACACTGATAAAGTATAATGTGAATACAATAAATATACGATTGTTAGTAAATGTGCGAGGATCGCATAGCTTCTTGGTGTATTCAATATAATATGTGTGTCTTATCATTTCTGGTTTCACTATTAGTTTAATACAAATTGCTTAAAACAGATCTGTATAATATTATTAAAGGAACACTATAGTCACCTAAATAAATAAATAAAGCAGTTTTAGTGTATAGATCATTCCCCTGCAATTTCACTGCTCAATTCACTGTCATGTAGGAGTTAAATCACTTTGTTTCTGTTTATGCAGCCCTAGTCACACCTCCCCTGGCTATGATTGACAGAGCCTGCATGGAAAAAAAAACTGGTTTCACTTTCAAACAGATGTAATTTACCTTAAATAACTGTATCTCAATCTCTAAATTGAACTTTAATCACATACAGGAGGCTCTTGCAGGGTCTAGCAAGCTATTAACATAGCAGGAGATAAGAAAATCTTAATTACACAGAACTTGCAATAAAGAAAGCCTAAATAGGGCTCTATTTACAGGAAGTGTTTATGGAAGGCTGTGCAAGTCACATGCAGGGAGGTGTGACTAGGGTTCATAAACAAAGGGATTTAACTCCTAAATGGCAGAAGATTGAGCAGTGAGGCTGCAGGGGCATGTTCTATACACCAAAACTGCTTCATTAAGCTAAAGTTGTTCAGGTGACTATAGTGTCCCTTTAATAGAAATCAGGACATTTGTTTTATTTTATCTTATAAAAACATGTCATGGTTTAATGTATTGCTATATTATAACTGAATAAATGTAACCTCACTCTGGGCCGACCTCCGGTATTGATGAAGTTACACAGAGGGGACAGACAGGTAACAATTTGTGCAAATATTAGGAGATATCTATAAACTAGTAAAGATATCGATCCTACATTTATATAACAATTATTATCTGTCAGATTCTACGGTTTAACAGGACACCATCTTTTTTTTTTTTATTCTTTATTTTATTTGTGCATAGGTTCAGCAAGCCAGTTTAAACTGCCACAACAGCTGGTGCAAACTGATCTTTAGACTTATTTGGATGTAAAAATTAAATTAGAGGGACAAAGGTTTACAAATAATATCAGGTAGTGGATGCATGGAATAGCCTTCCAGCTGAAGTGGTAGAGGTTAACACAGTGAAGGAGTTTAAGCATGCGTGGGATAGGCATAAGGCTATCCTAACTATAAGATAAGGCCAGGGGCTAATGAAAGTATTTAGAAAATTGGGCAGACTAGATTGGCCGAATGGTTCTTATCTGCCGTCACATTCTATGGTTCTATGTTTCTATGTGTTGCACATTTTTTGTAAATGTAAATAAGCAAGATTAAACCTAATGTTTACATGTCATAGCAGTGAACAAGTAGTATTAAGGTATGTCATGGGTAAGTTGGACATAAGGGTGTCTAAACATCACGTATCTTAAGCCGGTAACATACAAGGTAGTCGATTGTGATAACAGTGAGTCCACTGGGGTGCGATTCAAAAGGGTGAAGGTATCTCTCACTAAATGCAATGACAAGTAAAACAAAAAAACAAACAAAAAAAACTATTAGCCCCCACCCCTAAACGACGGATGGGGGACCTAAAGTAAAATAAGGGGGGAGACCTATTGTCCCCCCCCCGGCCCCCACCCCTGTGCGGCGGGTGGGGGCCATAATGATAATGAGGGGGGGGACCTACTGCCCCCCCCGGCACCCACCCCTGGGTGGCGGGTGGGGGCCATGAAGATAATGGGGGGGAGACCTACTGTCCACCCCACCCCTGGGCAGCGGGTGGGGGCCATGAAGAAAATTAGGGGGAGGGGGGGACCTACTGTCCACCCTCCCTCCGGCCCCCACCCCTGGGTGGCAGGTGGGGGCCATAAAGATAATGGGGGGGGGAACCTATTGTCCTCCAATTCAAAATAATTGGAAATCCATCCAATCACAGTGCTCTGTGTCATTTTACACAGCGTAGGAAAATTCTTTTGAATTTTCCCACGCTGTGTAAAATGACAAAGAGCACTCTGATTGGCTTAAACCCACCAATCACAGTGTTCTTAGCCTAATTGCAGGGCGTGGCAAGGCTTTATAAGCCTTCCCCCGCCCTGCAGAGCTCAGTCTGCGCGGAGCCCTCCATGGATGAAGATGGATTAGTTTTTTGCGCTCTGGTTTTTTCATTTTCGTCTGTTTTTTTTTTTTGCACTCGGGATTTTTATTTTAAATTCAACGGTTCTGATGGTTTTTTGTTTGGCCTTTTTTGGGGCTGAAAAATGAAGATTTAAGAAATAAGAAGACGTCGAATGGTAAGTTTAATTTTATTTTACAGGTTAGTTATTTTATTCCTCCCCTCACTATTTTTTAGGGTGAGGGGGGTAGGTAGGGACTTTTTATTTGGGTGGGGGGTGGGTGACTAGGGGACCCCTAGTCAATTGACTTAGGGCCCCCACCCGCCGCCCAGGGGTGGGGGCCGGGGGGGGAAGGACAGTAGGTCCCCCCCTCATTATCTTTATGGCCACCACCCGCCGCCATGGGGTGGGGGCTGGAGGGGGGCTGAACAGTAGGTCCCCCCACATTATCATTTGGCCCCCACCCGCCGCCCAGGGGTGGACAGTAGGTCCCCCCCTCCCCCTCATTTTCTTCATGGCCCCCACCCGCCGCCCAGGGGTGGGGGCCGGAGGGGGGGTGGACAGTAGGTCCCCCCCCTCAATATCATTTGGCCCCCACCCGCCGCCCAGGGGTGGGGGACGGAGGTGGGTTGGACAGTAGGTCTCCCCCCCCATTATCTTCATGGCCCCCACCCGCAGCCACAGGCTGCTCACTGTATACCAGACATGCCCCTACTCGCGGTATAGCGAGTAGGGGCATATTATTTACTAATACTAAGTAATTTTTAGGTCTTTCAGCCTTTTAGTCAGTGGCGGATCCAGAGCCTGATCTCGGGAGGGGCACTTGTAGATTATTTAAATAAATAATCCAGACACAATAATCAGTGTAGTGGTTATGGTGTCAATAGTGCCGGGACCCCCTCCCAGAGTAAGTAGTCAAACCGTTTAAGAACAGTTTGACAACTTACCTGAGGTCTGCTGAGAAATGGGGTAGTAGTAGGGCATAGGAACAGTGGTGTGTGTGAGTGGTGCAATGTGCAAGGGGTGCAGTGTGTGTGTGTGTGTGTGTGTGTGAGGGGGACAGTGTGTGAGCAGTGTGTGTGTGAAGGTTGTAGTGTGTGTGAGGGCGGCAGTGTATGTCAGGGATGCAGTGTATGTGTTTGAGTATTGCAGTGTATGTGTGTGTATGGGGCGGCAGTGTGTGTGTATTGGGTAGTGTATGTGTGTAGAGTGTGTGTATGGGGGGGAGTGGGTGTATGGGGGGTATATGTGGTATGGGGCAGCATGTGGGTATGGGGGCAGTGTGTGTATAAAGGGCATATGGGGGCAGTGTGTGTATCGGGTAGTGTATGTGTGTAGAGTGTGTGCATGGGGGGCAGTGTGCATGGGCTGGCAGTGTGTGTGCATGGGGGAGCAGTGTGTGTGCATGGTGGGGCAGTGTGTGTGTATGGGGCGGCAGTGTGTGTGTATGGGGCCTGTATGGGGCAGTGTATGGGGGGGCAGTATGTGTGTATGGGGGGGCAGTGTGTGTGTGTTGGGGGCAGTGCGTGTGTGTGTGTGATAAGGGTGGGGGGGACTTTTTTTTATAAGATATATTTTTTTATTTAATTCAATATAAGTATTCATTATGTCCCCCCTCCCTTCTTACCTTTACTGGGGGGGAGGGGGGACATTTCCCTGGTGGTCCGTCGTCCGTGGGCGATTCATTGGTGGTCCCAGTGGGGAGAGTGAACTCTAGCCCGCGCTCCAGGGCTAGAGTTCACCCTCGCGAGATTTGGAGCGTTGCCCCCCCTGGATCCGCCACTGCTTTTAGTAGATAACTCCCTGATACCGTGGGAATTAGGGAGTTATCTACTAAGCGGCTGCAAATTGCGATCTGAATAAAGTGCCGAATTGCATTCAATTAGAATGCAATTCGGCTGTTTCGTGTAAAGTGACAGAAGCATCACCGGAAAGGTAAGAATCATGGGAAAATTGCTCTGACCAGCGGAAATGAAGCACACTTTGCTCCTCCGCTGGTCAGAGCTGGTCAAGCGGAGGAATCCTCCATAAGGCAAAGAGTCCCTACTTTGTCTTATGATTTTAAAGAAAACTAAAGAAGACAGGAAGAAAAGAAGAACAGATCCTGAGAGAGGGGGAGAAGAGGAAGAGATTGAGGAAAGGTAAGTTTGGCATGACAGAGCTGCTTTAAAGTAAAGGGAAGTAAAAGTTAGCCGGTCTTTCCAACTTCCCTATCCTCCTCATCGCACCCAGAGTGAGAGCTGACTGTCAGCACAGAGCCACCATGAGACTCCGGGTGATCGCACTCATACTGTATACACCGGGTAAGAAACTTCATCTTATCATCCAGGGGCGAGATTTACTAAATAAATGGCTTTTATTGAATGAAATCTGGAAAAATCAATCCTCCGGCTCTTTGTCTGCAATTTCCCTATAATTCAGCGTTTAGTGAATAATAAACTGACTGAGTGATGGGATGATGGAAAGGACCCAGTGAGGGAGACTAGATCAGGGTTAATATCATTTAAATACCCCTCCTCACACATCACCCAGGCAGGTTGTCAGTCCTGACAGATCTCAGTAACAAACACAACTTACCTTTACAGTATTACAATTTAAGGAGACCTCACACATCACTCAGGCAGGCTGTCAGTCCTGAGAGATCTCAGTAACAAACACAACTTACCTTTACAGTATTACAATTTAAGGAGACCTCACACATCACCCAGGCAGGCTGTCAGTCCTGAGAGATCTCAGTAACAAACACAAGTTACCTTTACAGTATTACAATTTAAGGAGACCTCACACATCACCCAGGCAGGCTGTCAGTCCTGACAGATCTCAGTAACAAACACAAGTTAC